GAGAGTGTTGTCGATTTGTGACTTTGAGGGGTTCGAGACAGTACCTGTGGAACCTGTAGTCAACGAGATTGTGTCTTTGACCACTATCATGGGATTGTAGGTGGATAACAGTGATATCGAAGAGCTTGTGGAAGAGCACAGCCAAGAGCTGACCATCGAAGAGCTTATGGGGTTGCATTGTGTTTGCCTCTCAAAGTCCAACCCCACGTCCTCGTCGTGAGAGGTGGTAACAGGACAAAGTAGGAGGTGTGGGCGAAGTATGGTGTGGCCTCGTGCCACGTGACCGCTACGGTAGCCACGAAGGCCACCCTGGGTCACCCCGAAACGTCCTGACCAACGGGGCTCTGGTGAAGTTGCGACAGGCCTAGCAAGCCGGCAATGGATGTATTACCGCTACAGAAATCAAAATGAGATATAAACGGACTGATCAAACGGTATCTGACCATGGCTATGTTAAGGGACTACGAGACAGAAAAGCGAAAAACAAGATTGCAACACTTAACACCGCTGGCCTGGGAAATAAAACAGAAGAGATTATTGAAATGATGGAAAAAAAGGAAAATCAAGTTAATGGGGCTAGCTGACATAAGACGCAAGGGAAATAGTAACAAGAAAATACACAGAGGCTACTTACTAACATATGCAGGAGGAGAAACATCGAAGAATGGAAAGGGTTTCCTGGTACATCCGGACATATCTAACTACATATTAGACATACATTATCACTCAGATAGAATTATTACTTTGAAAATTAAAAGAGGATTTTTCTAATTCTCTTTCGTTGACCACTTTCAGCTAGGTCCGCTCACATTTCTGCTCACTTTCCTTTCAGCTATATTTGTGGTGACGTTTTCTGGTCATGATCTCATTTGATTTTGGATTGTGTTTTAAAAGAGGAGAACAAGCTGAAACATATATACAGATATTTGCACCATGCAATGATAATTATACAGAAGAGCAGAAAGATGAATTCTTTGACGATTTGTCTGATGAGATAGAGAAAGTTGAGGGAAGCAGCATACTATATGTAATGGGTGACTTCAACAGGAGGGTAGGAAATAACAGAAGAGAATACGAACAGTTTTTAGGTCCACATGCAGCTAAGAACAGTGACAGAAATGGAAATAGCCAAAGAATATTGGATCTATGCAGCCAGCACAATCTTTTTATTACGAACACATTCTTTGACCATAGAGATTCACAACTTTACACTTGGTACAAATGGAATGATGTCTCCATCAAGAGCCAGATTGACTTTATACTTACCAGAGTTCAAGGAAGAAGGAGAGTTCTTGATTCAAGAGCAATCCCTAATGGTCTATGTGACACTGACCACAAAATAATTGTTTTAACAGCAAAACATCTTACATTAAAGAAACACAGAAAGAAATTAACCAAAAACAAGGATCTCATCAAGATAGCAAATCTGAAACAGGAAGGAGTAAAAAAAACAGTTACAACAGAAAGTATTCAAACAACTTCCACATGTAGTTGGCAATTATGAAGAAAAGTGGAGTAAATATAAAAACACTATGCTTAGTATTGCAGAAGAATTATGTGGAAAACGGAAGAGTGGAAACAGACGGGGAAATAACAAATATTCACTTTGCTGGTGCGAAGAAGTAAAAGACGCAATTAAAAAGAAAAAGGACTTATATAAACAGTGGATAAAATCAAAGAAAGAAAAAGATTATATAAACTATAGACTGCAAAGGAGAGAAACCAACAGGAGTGTCAAGAAAGCAAAACAAGCATCCTGGGAACGTTTCGGTGAATCATTAGCAGAAAATGAGAAAACAGCCAGCAGAAAATGTTTCAAAGTAGTTAAAAATATGCGGAAAAGATATAAGAGCTACAACCCCACTGAAATAATTAATGATAAGACAGGAAGGCCATTGATAGATCCACCCGAGATAGCAGAAAGATGGAGGGAATACTTCAATGAGCTCTTTAATCCTCTAGGAGATCATCAGGAAAGAACAACTGAAGAGCACAAAGCAACAGTGTTAGAACCACACATACTAATGGATGAAATAGAAAAATTCATTAAACAGTCTCCCAAATATAAAGTACCAGGAGCTGATAGATTACCAACAGAAATAATTCAAGCAGCAGGTGAAAGCAGCATCAGATGGCTTCACAGAATATTCAATGCAGCATGGGTACAACAAACTGCCCCTATTGATTGGCCACATGCAATAGTTATACCATTGTGGAAGAACAAAGGAAGCAAACGAGAATGCGGTCAAAACCGAGGCATCTCTCTTTTAAGCCATGTTATCAAAATGTATGCCAAGATAATAGAAACAAGACTGAGACCAGTGATAGAACCACAGCTGGCAGAAGAACAGATGGGATTTAGGAGAAATAGAATCTGCACAGATGCAATCTTCACACTTAAACAGTTAATAGAAAAGAACATTGAATACAATAAGAACTTATTTGTGGCATTTGTAGACCAGGAGAAGGCATTTGACTGAGTCGACAGACAATTATTATGGAAAGTAATGGCAAGATATGGAGTAAGCGAACACCTCATCGAAGTGTGCAAAAGTTTATACAGGGATTGTAGAAGTGTAGTTAGAATAAATCAGGGAACATCTCATCCATTCACAGTAACATCTGGAGTAAGACAGAGGTGTATCTTATCACCACTGCTGTTTATCACCTACATCGACAGTAAATGCAAGAATGCCAAGCCCATGAATGAAAATGTTAGTAAGATCAACGAATTACTCTTTGCAGATTACCAGGCCTTGATAGCAGATACAGCCATGAAATTGCAACAACATCTAACATCTATGAATGAAGAATGTAAAACAAATAATATGAGAATCAACACTAAAAAGACAGAAGTAATGTCAACAGGAAAAAAGAAGACAGATCTAAACATAGCAATAGAGTGCAAAGGCATTAAACAGGCGTCTGAGTTTAAATATCTGGGAACTACATTTACCGAAGATGGGAAATTGGATAAAGAAATTAACATTAGATGCAGTAAAGCAAACTAAGTTTCGGGACAGCTAGCTCCCTCTTACAGCATAAGACAATCCCAATCAGCACAAAGAGACATCTTATTCAAAGCATATTTATTCCAATTCTGTGCTACCAGTGCCAGACATGGTAACTCACAACAAACCATAAAAGAAAATTAGTAACCATGGAAATGAGATGTCTGAGAAGGGCTGTAGGAGTGACCATAAGAGATAAGATCAGGAATGAGATCATAAGAGAACAAGTCGGCACAGAACCCATTCTAAATTACATACAAAGACAGCAAGTGAAATGGTTTGCCCACTTAGAGAGAATGCCTTGTGACACCATATCATACAAAGCATACATGGAAAGAGAAGAAGGTCGTAGAGCAAGAGGTAGACCAAGAACAAGATGGAAAGATAACATCAGAGAAGCTCTACAACAGCACGATATGCCTATGGTCGAGGCGGCCAGAAGAGCCAGAAACAGAACCTTATATCTCCCTCGACACCCACAGCGGTAAAAGAGGAAGTGAAGAAGAAGAGAAGAAGAAGTTTGTGTTTCACAGCAAGAAGTTGTGGAGGAAAGTTTGTCAGGGGAGGAGGAGGAGGAGGAGAAGGTAAAAGAAAAGCAAGAATCTTCTGGCGAAATAAGAAAAATGCTGAAAGCATGGCAAACTGTTGCTTCTCACATTGAGAATAATCACCCGAATAAGGAAGTGGCTATGCGCGCTGCAAATTTAATGATAATGCTGTGTCGCATTTTCGCCAAATTTTGTAGCGTCGACAAAAACAAATGTCTCTGGACATCTTTCTAGTAAAAAAAAATAATTAGCTGTTTATCACAATTATTTCGACTTTTTTTCTGCAAATCGAATTCGCATTCCGTGTGGGTTCGTTCCGCGTTTGAAGAAAAGATGAAGATGATTCACTCTCCTTAAATATGTATATAATTGTCTTTGAATAAATGTTATAGTATAACTTATACATAGCATTTTGTGAGTATTTTTTTCGAGATGGAACGCATTATTGCATTTTACATTAATTTATATGAGAAAAGTTGCTTCGCATAACGAGTGTTTCGCTTAACGAGTGTGATTCGGGAACGAATTATGCTCGTTAAGCGAGGTTCCACTGTAATGGACGGACACACCAGTAGACGTGCATGACTTGTCTAAGGTTGTCCTAACACTGGGGAGGTACTGCATGAATCAGATACCTGCCACCGAAGACGCCGAAATTAGAGCACTGATTGATCCACTCACGCCCAGAAGACGTCGTCATTTACACAGATGGGTCAGTGAAGCGCGGGACAAGATCAGCATGGGCATACACAGTCCAAAGGATGGAAAAACAATAAAAGAGGATAGCGGCGCTTACCAGACGACCACGTCAAGCACGACCATGGAGATAGCTGCTGCTACCAGAGCACTCGCGTGGGTTTGCAGAACCAGCGGCCACACATGTGGTAATTGTTTCAGACTCTATTAACATGCTTCAGAAAATCGATAGTAGTCTCCGCTCCGAATGGTTAGAAAGCATTTGGAAGTCACAGTTAACCTCCATCATCTGGATCTACACACCTGGGTACGCAGGAGTGAATGGTAATGAAAGAGCTGACCAGCTGGCAAGTAATGGACCAATGAAAATGGAAAAAAGCACGGACAGAGCTGATATCATCAACGCCGTACGGATTTTTTTGGGAGATAACGGCGAATATCTGACGCTAACACGATTTCGTGACCGATAAGTTAAGCTTGGTGAAGCACGACTATGCCGTCTTAGAGGTAAAGACAGGAGATACTATAACCAACTCCTCATAAGTAGAGGTACCTTGAAGTGGCTGCTGTATCTGAGGACTGAGCACGCACATGGATGCCCAGTGTGCAAAGAAGTCGATTGTGATAACACTTTATTTGGCATTTTCTGACATATTTTGGGTAATGGTTTGGCATAAAATGAAGTTTTTTATCTGGCAACCCTGGACTCGACCGCCTCCTGCCTGCCACATTGTAACGTCAGAAAATGGCGGAGTACCTCGCCTCGATCTTCGGCACAGAGAAAGACAAGTAAGTCCTCGTGTTTATGTCTAGTCTTGCTGATAAACCTGTTTGGGTTTGTTTGTCTAGTAATTGTTGTTTAATTCTGAAGGTTTTGACGCCTGCGTAAACTCTAAATAACCGATCATAATAATAACATAACGAGTAACTCAACAACAATGAATTAGCAATCACAAAGCTAGGTAAGGTTCCTCCTTGTCCATTGTGTGGCTTGTCACTTGTGTTTATGAAACATTTTATGTCCCCGTTTGGGAAATCCAATTTTAGAAGAAATAAAAGATATTAAAAAAAAAAAAAGACAGCATATATCATTATATCGACTGTTAGGATAGCAATCAAAATGATTATCATTGTATGTATAGAAAGTAGAACAGCGAGGACGCACCAACCAAACAAAATAACATCTATTATTAGATAGCATTTTTCAGATGTTTTGTTTTCATTTTCAAATTTTTGAGTTTTCAATTAGGACATTTTTGGGGGGTTTAAAATGATTGTTTTCAGCATTTCTGTGATATTCAGTTCAACGTCCACAGTGTTGGTGATCACGTCAGTTCCACAGCCCTTCCATCTCATGTGTACTGTTGTCTCATTTACTGTCTGTCTGATGTGCTGTCTGTTTTATGTCATGTACTGTCCGAGTGTCTCATGTACTGTCTGTCTGATGACTGATGTGCTGTCTGTTTTATGTCATGTACTGTCCGAGTGTCTCATGTACTGTCTGTCTGATGACTGATGTGCTGTCTGTTTTATTTCATGTACTGTCCGAGTGTCTCATGTACTGTCTGTCTCATTTACTGTCTGTCTGATGTGCTGTCTGTTTTATGTCATGTACTGTCCGAGTGTCTCATGTACTGTCTGTCTGATGTGCTCTGTTTTATGTCATGTCATGTACTGTCCGAGTGTCTCATGTACTGGGTGTCTCATGTACTGCCTTGTTACTCAAATGCTGATTTTGTGCCATGATGCTTAACTGTTCTCTCCTCTTTTGTAGTCTCAGATAAGTCTCCATTCCAGGGAAATTTTCCTCATGACATTTAACAAAAATCATTTTAATCATCATGTAATATCACATTTTCACCATCTTATGATTCACAACATATTTATTATCTACTTGACCTCTGATGCTCACTTTGACCTTTTTTACAGGACATAGTCATTGTCGTTACCTATTTTATCTCAGCCAGCAGCACCCCAGTTTTTTCAGTCATGCCTCGTCTTGGTACATATGGGCTGTTTCATGAATGATTTACTGTCGTTCGTCAGGATTTGTTGATTTCTTTAAATCAGCCAGTAAATAGTCAATGATGTAAACAGTAGATTTGAAGTTGAATGCGAACAGAAAATATGGAGCTAAGCAGTGAAGAAAAATAGTTGCGGAAACATCATCACACAGCTGACACTGACGAGAGGCTGGGACATGCGAACCACTGAAGCTAGGTTGTCTCGCTCATCAATATCTAATCTACCAGGTGTTTTCATTCATTAGACCTCTTCAGTATAACTTTTGTCCGGAAAGAAAAATTGTTTTCAAATTTGCATTTTTCGTGACTTTGTTTTGAAAAGACATCAGTTTATCTACATTTTCCAAGTATGAAATGATAAATAACGTTAAACTAGAATGAGCCACAAATCCCCAGTTTACAAGTTATAAATATCTCCCTAGGGTCAACTGTTCGTTTTATTTTAAAATTGGAGCTTGTCGCCATGGAGACAGATGTTCCCGCCTACACAACAGACCAACATTCAGCCAGGTGAGGTTACATAGAACTGCCATTTCAAAAATATTTAGTTTGGTTATGTGAACCCAATTGTAAAAATGTATGTGTTTCATTTTTGTTTGTTAAAAAGATAGCATTAAAAAATATATGTACTGTTTAAAATGGGTTCACATGGGATATGTTTGAGCCAGTTCTGAGAAATGTAACAAACAGTAGAAAGTAATAAAAGCAGTCAACATCATGGACTGAGAGAAATGTAACAAACAGTAGAAAGTAATAAAAGCAATCAACATCATGGACTGAGAGAAATGTAACAAACAGTAGAAAGTAATAAAAGCAGTCAACATCATGGACTTAAACAAACAGTAGAAAGTAATAAAAGCAGTCAACATCATGGACTGGTCATTCTCGGAGACGTGAAGAACCACCAGAGAGAGAGAAATGGAGCTCACAATATTGGCTGGCGACATGAAGGCTAGATCAAGGACAACCTGGTTGAAACATACACATAGAGCTATCAGTTCTGATACAGGGGAGTAGGGGGAGAGAGATTGCAAAGGCGTAAAGCTTTAATATGATCAGAATGTTTCTTTGTCTGCATTTATCCTTACAAGGGTGGCAAGGCACATTTTCAGATCCAAACATCCTGAACTTAATTATAGTGCAGTTCAAAAGTTGTACCTTCACATTTGGACAAATGTCTGCACATATTTGTTCCATGTTGCTTTACATTTCCCATGTGGTTATAATTTTATAATTTACAATTGCACAGGTGCTGGTTTCTCTTCTGATCTTTGTTAGTTGAATCATTTATGTTCCCCTACACAATACGATATACAGTAGCTAACACTCACATAGAGATGGACATCAGTTGGCAATGTCTGGTAAATATTTTGATATGATAAATTGTGTGTTCATGTAACTTACATGATCATATTACCAGAGATGACCACTTCAAAGTGAAATGCCTAGGCTTATTAAAGATTCCAGTTGTGAGGCCCCAACCGTGGTGCCATCTGCTCTCATTAAACATATGCAGGGATGGACAAAGACTCAGTTCTGCATCTGCCAGAGCCATATGATATACATTTTTTTTTTTACATATGCCTGAACAGAATTTATGTTGTTTTGGGAATTTGACAAAAACTGTCTGGTTGGTACTAGGTACCACAGAAATGAGCAGCATACAGACAGTGACAGGTGGTTCAACAGTATCAAAGTCGCTAGGTACCACAGAAATGAGCAGCATACAGACAGTGACAGGTGGTTCAACAGTATCAAAGTCGCTAGGTACCACAGAAATGAGCAGCATACAGACAGTGACAGGTGGTTCAACAGTATCAAAGTCGCTAGGTACCACAGAAATGAGCAGCATACAGACAGTGACAGGTGGTTCAACAGTATCAAAGTCGCTAGGTACCACAGAAATGAGCAGCATACAGACAGTGACAGGTGGTTCAACAGTATCAAAGTCGCTAGGTACCACAGAAATGAGCAGCATACAGACAGTGACAGGTGGTTCAACAGTATCAAAGTCGCTAGGTACCACAGAAATGAGCAGCATACAGACAGTGACAGGTGGTTCAACAGTATCAAAGTCGCTAGGTACCACAGAAATGAGCAGCATACAGACAGTGACAGGTGGTTCAACAGTATCAAAGTCGCTAGGTACCACAGAAATGAGCAGCATACAGACAGTGACAGGTGGTTCAACAGTATCAAAGTCGCTAGGTACCACAGAAATGAGCAGCATACAGACAGTGACAGGTGGTTCAACAGTATCAAAGTCGCTAGGTACCACAGAAATGAGCAGCATACAGACAGTGACAGGTGGTTCAACAGTATCAAAGTCGCTAGGTACCACAGAAATGAGCAGCATACAGACAGACAGTGACAGGTGGTTCAACAGTATCAAAGTCGCTAGGTACCACAGAAATGAGCAGCATACAGACAGTGACAGGTGGTTCAACAGTATCAAAGTCGCTAGGTACCACAGAAATGAGCAGCATACAGACAGTGACAGGTGGTTCAACAGTATCAAAGTCGCTAGGTACCACAGAAATGAGCAGCATACAGACAGTGACAGGTGGTTCAACAGTATCAAAGTTGCTAGGTACCACAGAAATGAGCAGCATACAGACAGTGACAGGTGGTTCAACAGTATCAAAGTCGCTAGGTACCACAGAAATGAGCAGCATACAGACAGTGACAGGTGGTTCAACAGTATCAAAGTCGCTAGGTACCACAGAAATGAGCAGCATACAGACAGTGACAGGTGGTTCAACAGTATCAAAGTCGCTAGGTACCACAGAAATGAGCAGCATACAGACAGACAGTGACAGGTGGTTCAACAGTATCAAAGTCGCTAGGTACCACAGAAATGAGCAGCATACAGACAGACAGTGACAGGTGGTTCAACAGTATCAAAGTCTCTAGGTACCACAGAAATGAGCAGCATACAGACAGACAGTGACAGGTGGTTCAACAGTATCAAAGTCGCTAGGTACCACAGAAATGAGCAGCATACAGACAGACAGTGACAGGTGGTTCAACAGTATCAAAGTCGCTAGGTACCACAGAAATGAGCAGCATACAGACAGACAGTGACAGGTGGTTCAACAGTATCAAAGTCGCTAGGTACCACAGAAATGAGCAGCATACAGACAGTGACAGGTGGTTCAACAGTATCAAAGTCGCTAGGTACCACAGAAATGAGCAGCATACAGACAGACAGTGACAGGTGGTTCAACAGTATCAAAGTCGCTAGGTACCACAGAAATGAGCAGCATACAGACAGTGACAGGTGGTTCAACAGTATCAAAGTCGCTAGGTACCACAGAAATGAGCAGCATACAGACAGTGACAGGTGGTTCAACAGTATCAAAGTCGCTAGGTACCACAGAAATGAGCAGCATACAGACAGTGACAGGTGGTTCAACAGTATCAAAGTCGCTAGGTATCACAGAAATGAGCAGCATACAGACAGTGACAGGTGGTTCAACAGTATCAAAGTCGCTAGGTACCACAGAAATGAGCAGCATACAGACAGTGACAGGTGGTTCAACAGTATCAAAGTCGCTAGGTACCACAGAAATGAGCAGCATACAGACAGTGACAGGTGGTTCAACAGTATCAAAGTCGCTAGGTACCACAGAAATGAGCAGCATACAGACAGTGACAGGTGGTTCAACGGTTTCAAAGTCGCTAGGTACCACAGAAATGAGCAGCATACAGACAGTGACAGGTGGTTCAACAGTATCAAAGTCGCTAGGTACCACAGAAATGAGCAGCATACAGACAGTGACAGGTGGTTCAACAGTATCAAAGTCGCTAGGTACCACAGAAATGAGCAGCATACAGACAGTGACAGGTGGTTCAACAGTATCAAAGTCGCTAGGTACCACAGAAATGAGCAGCATACAGACAGTGACAGGTGGTTCAACAGTATCAAAGTCGCTAGGTACCACAGAAATGAGCAGCATACAGACAGTGACAGGTGGTTCAACAGTATCAAAGTCGCTAGGTACCACAGAAATGAGCAGCATACAGACAGTGACAGGTGGTTCAACAGTATCAAAGTCGCTAGGTACCACAGAAATGAGCAGCATACAGACAGTGACAGGTGGTTCAACAGTATCAAAGTCGCTAGGTACCACAGAAATGAGCAGCATACAGACAGACAGTGACAGGTGGTTCAACAGTATCAAAGTCGCTAGGTACCACAGAAATGAGCAGCATACAGACAGTGACAGGTGGTTCAACAGTATCAAAGTCGCTAGGTACCACAGAAATGAGCAGCATACAGACAGTGACAGGTGGTTCAACAGTATCAAAGTCGCTAGGTACCACAGAAATGAGCAGCATACAGACAGTGACAGGTGGTTCAACAGTATCAAAGTTGCTAGGTACCACAGAAATGAGCAGCATACAGACAGTGACAGGTGGTTCAACAGTATCAAAGTCGCTAGGTACCACAGAAATGAGCAGCATACAGACAGTGACAGGTGGTTCAACAGTATCAAAGTCGCTAGGTACCACAGAAATGAGCAGCATACAGACAGTGACAGGTAATTCAACAGTATCAAAGTCGCTAGGTACCACAGAAATGAGCAGCATACAGACAGTGACAGGTGGTTCAACAGTATCAAAGTCACTAGGTACCACAGAAATGAGCAGCATACAGACAGTGACAGGTGGTTCAACAGTATCAAAGTCGCTAGGTACCACAGAAATGAGCAGCATACAGACAGACAGTGACAGGTGGTTCAACAGTATCAAAGTCGCTAGGTACCACAGAAATGAGCAGCATACAGACAGTGACAGGTGGTTCAACAGTATCAAAGTCGCTAGGTACCACAGAAATGAGCAGCATACAGACAGACAGTGACAGGTGGTTCAACAGTATCAAAGTCGCTAGGTACCACAGAAATGAGCAGCATACAGACAGACAGTGACAGGTGGTTCAACAGTATCAAAGTCGCTAGGTACCACAGAAATGAGCAGCATACAGACAGACAGTGACAGGTGGTTCAACAGTATCAAAGTCGCTAGGTACCACAGAAATGAGCAGCATACAGACAGACAGTGACAGGTGGTTCAACAGTATCAAAGTCGCTAGGTACCACAGAAATGAGCAGCATACAGACAGACAGTGACAGGTGGTTCAACAGTATCAAAGTCGCTAGGTACCACAGAAATGAGCAGCATACAGACAGACAGTGACAGGTGGTTCAACAGTATCAAAGTCGCTAGGTACCACAGAAATGAGCAGCATACAGACAGTGACAGGTGGTTCAACAGTATCAAAGTCGCTAGGTACCACAGAAAATGAGCAGCATACAGACAGTGACAGGTGGTTCAACAGTATCAAAGTCGCTAGGTACCACAGAAATGAGCAGCATACAGACAGTGACAGGTGGTTCAACAGTATCAAAGTCGCTAGGTACCACAGAAATGAGCAGCATACAGACAGTGACAGGTGGTTCAACGGTATCAAAGTCGCTAGGTACCACAGAAATGAGCAGCATACAGACAGTGACAGGTGGTTCAACAGTATCAAAGTCGCTAGGTACCACAGAAATGAGCAGCATACAGACAGTGACAGGTGGTTCAACAGTATCAAAGTCGCTAGGTACCACAGAAATGAGCAGCATACAGACAGTGATAGGTGGTTCAACAGTATCAAAGTCGCTAGGTACCACAGAAATGAGCAGCATACAGACAGTGACAGGTGGTTCAACAGTATCAAAGTCGTCTATAGATAAACAAAGACCAGTTTACACAGTCCCGGGAAGATCAGACACAAAATCTCTACAGACTTCCCCAACATTTGGATGATCTGACTGGAGGATGAGAAAAGTCTGACCAGCAGCCAGTTTGGTCTACTTCTGTTTATTTCCCACTGCTTAGGCCCGCGACATGGTAATTGCTTCATACATGCCGTTTTAAATCAGTTTTGATTCCGCTGGTTTAATCACATCGGCTCCATCTCTTCACAAAAGATGACCATCTGTCTGTTAAAAGCATCACATAAAAAGATGAGCCCATAGCTGACATTGCAAGTCCCCAGGATCTCTGAAACACACACTTGTAGATCGAAGAATGTTATCCAAAATAAAAATCACACCCGTAACTGCTTTGCTATAGCTCACTCTCACTGTGTTTGAAAGTGCTGTCAGTTGTTGGTTTCTGTTTCAGACCATCTTGCTACAGAACCTCTACTTGAACCCACAGAATGCAGCCCTGACGGCAGACGGATCTCACAGTGAGCGTTGTGTGTGTCTTCACCACTAAATTATTGTGTGTGTGTGTGTGAGCATGTTGACTGTCTCAGGTGGCTTACAGCAACACTATTGGCTACTTGTTTTCTGTAAAGTTCTGATTTCTGTTCTCTGTGTGTGTGCATGTTGACTGTCTCAGGTGGCTTACAGCAGCACTGTTGGCTACTTGTTCTCTGTAAAGTTCTGATTTCTGTTCTGTGTGTGTGGGTGAGCATGTTGACTGTCTCAGGTGGCTTACAGCAACACTATTGGCTACTTGTTTTCTGTAAAGTTCTGATTTCTGTTCTCTGTGTGTGTGCATGTTGACTGTCTCAGGTGGCTTACAGCAGCACTGTTGGCTACTTATTCTCTGTAAAGTTCTGATTTCTGTTCTGTGTGTGTGGGTGAGCGTGTTGACTGTCTCAGGTGACTTACAGCAACACTGTTGGCTACTTGTTCTCTGTAAAGTTCTGATTTCTGTTCTGTGTGTGTGTGTGCATGTTGACTGTCTCAGGTGGCTTACAGCAGCACTGTTGGCTACTTATTCTCTGTAAAGTTCTGATTTCTGTTCTGTGTGTGTGGGTGAGCGTGTTGGCTGTCTCAGGTGACTTACAGCAACACTGTTGGCTACTTGTTCTCTGTAAAGTTCTGATTTCTGTTCTGTGTGTGTGTGCATGTTGACTGTCTCAGGTGACTTTGACTTACGACAGTACTGATGGGCTGCTTGCACTGTTTAGTTCTGATTTATTGTCTGTAAGTATGGATATTTGTGAGTATTTTATATTTGGATGTATGTACATGTGTGTTAAGCTTGAGTGTGTTGTATATATACATGTGTACAGTGCAGACCACTGAAAGTGATCTAGGATATTCAAAATTTCTGTTGTGAATAGCAGTTTTTTTTTCTCCAGCAATTCTTCTGAATATTAGGAATTTCTGATAAGAACTGTTTCTGGGGTTCCTGGTGAGTTTTCCTTATTAGGTCTGCACTGTATTTGTATGTGTGTGATTGTATATTCAAATGTATGCATTTAACATTGATCTTTCTGGTAAATTTGACTTGATACTCATAGTATGTCAGGTCAGATAAAACTGCTGTGTGGAAGATGGGTGTGGCTGTCCAGTTTGTGGCCTCGTGAGAATCAAGTGTGTTCCTGGGTTGTGTCTTGTCTGTCTGATTGATCTGATGCCATGTTTTTCAGTAATGCTGGATGATGTGCAGGCACAGCAGGAGTATGATGACTTCTTTGAGGAGATTTTTGTGGAGCTGGAGGACAAGGTAGGTTTGTGTGTCTGTTACATTGTTGGTGGCTGGAGGACAAGGTAGGTTTGTGTCTGTGTCTGCTACATTGTTGGTGGCTGGAGGACAAGGTAGGTTTGTGTCTGTGTCTGCTACATTGTTGGTGGCTGGAGGACAAGGTAGGTGTGTATGTCTGCTACATTGTTGGTGGCTGGAGGACAAGGTAGGTGTGTGTGTCTGCTACATTGTTGGTGGCTGGAGGACAAGGTAGGTGTGTGTGTCTGCTACATTGTTGGTGGCTGGAGGACAAGGTAGGTGTGTGTGTCTGCTACATTGTTGGTGGCTGGAGGACAAGGTAGGTTTGTGTGTCTGTTACATTGTTGGTGGCTGGAGGACAAGGTAGGTCTGTGTCTGCTACATTGTTGGTGGCTGGAGGACAAGGTAGGTCTGTGTCTGCTACATTGTTGGTGGCTGGAGGACAAGGTAGGTGTGTGTCTGCTACATTGTTGGTGGCTGGAGGACAAGGTAGGTGTGTGTCTGCTACATTGTTGGTGGCTGGAGGACAAGGTAGGTGTGTGTCTGCTACATTGTTGGTGGCTGGAGGACAAGGTAGGTGTGTGTCTGCTACATTGTTGGTGGCTGGAGGACAAGGTAGGTGTGTGTGTCTGCTACATTGTTGGTGGCTGGAGGACAAGGTAGGTGAGTGTTTGTTACATTGTTGGGGGCTGGAGGACAAGGTAGGTTTGTGTGTCTGCTACATTGTTGGGGGCTGGAGGACAAGGTAGGTTTGTGTGTCTGCTACATTGTTGGTGGCTGGAGGACAAGGTAGGTGAGTGTTTGTTACATTGTTGGTGGCTGGAGGACAAGGTAGGTGAGTGTTTGTTACATTGTTGGTGGCTGGAGGACAAGGTAGGTGTGTGTCTGCTACATTGTTGGGGGGTGGAGGACAAGGTAGGTGTCTGTGTCTGCTACATTGTTGGTGGCTGGAGGACAAGGTAGGTTTGTGTCTGCTACATTGTTGGTGGCTGGAGGACAAGGTAGGTGAGTGTTTGTTACATTGTTGGGGGCTGGAGGACAAGGTAGGTGTGTGTTTGTTTGGTGGCTGGAGGACAAGGTAGGTGTGTGTTTGTTTGGTGGCTGGATGACAAGGTAGGTGTGTGTTTGTTACATTGTTGGGGGCTGGAGGACAAGGTAGGTGTCTGTGTCTGCTACATTGTTGGGGGGTGGAGGACAAGGTAGGTGTCTGTGTCTGCTACATTGTTGGTGGCTGGAGGACAAGGTAGGTTTGTGTCTGCTACATTGTTGGTGGCTGGAGGACAAGGTAGGTGTGTGTCTGTGTCTGCTACATTGTTGGGGGGTGGAGGACAAGGTAGGTGTCTGTGTCTGCTACATTGTTGGTGGCTGGAGGACAAGGTAGGTTTGTGTCTGCTACATTGTTGGTGGCTGGAGGACAAGGTAGGTGTCTGTGTCTGCTACATTGTTGGTGGCTGGAGGACAAGGTAGGTGTCTGTGTCTGCTACATTGTTGGTGGCTGGAGGACAAGGTAGGTGTCTGTGTCTGCTACATTGTTGGTGGCTGGAGGACAAGGTAGGTTTGTGTCTGCTACATTGTTGGTGGCTGGAGGACAAGGTAGGTGTGTGTTTGTGTCTGCTACATTGTTGGGGGGTGCTTGTTGGTGGCTGGAGGACAAGGTAGGTGTGTGTCTGCTACATTGTTGGTGAGTGCTTGTTTGGTGGCTGGAGGACAAGGTAGGTGTGTGTCTGCTACATTGTTGAGGGGTGGAGGACAAGGTAGGTGTCTGTGTCTGCTACATTGTTGGGGGGTGGAGGACAAGGTAGGTGTGTGTCTGCTACATTGTTGGTGGCTGGAGGACAAGGTAGGTTTGTGTCTGTGTCTGCTACATTGTTGGTGAGTGCTTGTTTGGTGGCTGGAGGACAAGGTAGGTGTGTGTCTGCTACATTGTTGGTGGCTGTAGGACAAGGTAGGTGTGTGTCTGCTACATTGTTGGTGGCTGTAGGACAAGGTAGGTGTGTGTCTGCTACATTGTTGGTGGCTGTAGGACAAGGTAGGTGTGTGTCTGCTACATTGTTGGTGGCTGTAGGACAAGGTAGGTGTCTGTGTCTGCTACATTGTTGGTGAGTGCTTGTTTGGTGGCTGGAGGACAAGGTAGGTGTGTGTCTGTGTCTGCTACATTGTTGGGGGGTGGAGGACAAGGTAGGTGTCTGTGTCTGCTACATTGTTGGGGGGTGGAGGACAAGGTAGGTTTGTGTCTGCTACATTGTTGGGGGGTGGAGGACAAGGTAAGTGTCTGTGTCTGCTACATTGTTGGGGGGTGGAGGACAAGGTAGGTGTGTGTGTCTGCTACATTGTTGGGGAGTGCTTGTTTGGTGTCTGGAGGACAAGGTAGGTGTGTGTCTGTGTCTGCTACATTGTTGGGGAGTGTTTGTTTGGTGGCTGGAGGACAAGGTAGGTTTGTGTCTGCTACATTGTTGGTGAGTGCTTGTTTGGTGGCTGGAGGACAAGGTAGGTGTGTGTCTGTGTCTGCTACATTGTTGGTGGCTGGAGGACAAGGTAGGTGTGTGTTTGCTGCATTGTTGGGGAGTGCTTGTTTGGTGGCTGTAGTCTGTTGACGGTGAAATACTTAAAGTCTGTGGAGGAAGCATGACCCGCCTTGACCCAGTCTCAGCCTTTAAGGCGAAAACTGTCAGTAGTGACCTTGCTAGTTTATTAGCTGGGGCAAGGAGAGCTCTGCAGCACACTTCCCTCATTGAGATGGTAAATGTTTACTGGGCTGGGGAAACAACTGGGCACTAACGGGACTCAGATAGATGCAAGTCCGTGTTTAGGTGACTAGAAGAATGTCAGTGCATGTCAGGGTTCGGGTGACTAAAATATCAGTGTAATTCTATGTTAGGGTTCAAATGACCAGAAAGTCAGTGCAATTCTCTGTCATAGTTTAGGTGACTAGAATGTCAATACAACCCAGGGTTCAGGGGACCAGATTGTCAGTGCAGGAAACAAACTGGAACAGGTCAGTCCTTCAGAGAGTTTCACTGCCAACCAACCAAGCAGCAGTTATAACACTGTCTATACCAGAGGCTCTCAACCTTCCTAATGCCGCGACCCTTTACTACAGTTCCTTTATATTGTGGCAACCCACAAAGTATTTTCCATCATAACTGCAATGAATATGTGTTTTCAGATGGTCTTAGGCGACCCCTGTGAAAGTGTCGTTCAACCCAAAAAAGGGCCCCGGCCTATAGGTTTAGAACCGTTGGTCTACACCCAACATGAACAGAATGGAAAAACTAACATGACTGTACTCAGGACTTGTGAAGTCTGTTCTGTCCTATTCTTCAGTAGGCATTGAAGAATCCAGATGAGGTTGGTGTTATTGTTGCCCAGGTGCTCTGCCTCCACTCTCAGCTGAAGCTGAATTAGCACATGGAGGCATCAGTTCTGTGACTGTGCTGCTGCACTGACCACTTGATCCTGCAGTGAAAGCATCCAACTTATAAAGTATCTTCTCTTCCAGAGGAGTCCCAGAAGCCAGTCAGCCAGCAAACACCCGTACAAGTTCTAGCTCACAGATCCATGGTATGCTACAACGCAAGCCACTCTGGGTGTGCGGCAAAGCATATATTTCAGTAGCTTGTCAGTTCCACGAACATGTCTGATAGCATTTTCTGCCAGTGTTACTCTGTAGACAGGGATACACTGTAGTTCAGAAATTATGACCATAATTTGCTTCATCTTGTGGGAACATCTGACCACACAATATCGTCTACATTATAGTCTGTTAGGTTTAATTAATTGTGCTCTTGTTTGATCTGGTGATGTTGTTTATTGCAGTATGGAGAGATTGAGGAGATGAATGTCTGTGACAACCTGGGGGACCATCTCGTTGGCAATGTCTACGTCAGAGTGAGTATATCAGATACATTGAACATTAACACTGGTACATTATTGAAGTTTTGCTTACCTGTCTGTTGAACTTGTTTTTGGTTTGTTTTTAAATAAACATTTTTGGATAGTAGGATGGGAGCTACTACCATTGAGTGTGTAAAACAATTCTGTTGATTGATATATACCATAAAAGTAGAATGTCTTTACCATGGAACCCACCAGAGCTGTGTTTCCCAACCCTTTTTTTGTGTATGTGTGCCATGTCCCACCTGAGCCTTTCTACAATTCTAATACCCACCTCCCCATGTAAGTTAAAATCAGATTGACTCACTGTGGGAACCACTGCACTAGAAGATTAAAAGTAAAGGCAGGTCAAAAACTATGTGAAGGGAGTTAGAGATTGGAGTTAACAAAGAGGGGTAGGACATGGGGCGGGATGCATGCAGTAACAAAGCCTTAGATGGGGGTCTGTGCCTTATTGAAGGGGCAGAAGGAAAAGATTATGTTTTGAGGAAGTAAACTATAGACAATGAGGCCAAAGCTGTACCTATCTGATAACTGTAAGGGAAGACAAGAATGGTGACCTAGCACGCATGTCATTTGAGTCTTGCCTCATTCTGGAGAAACCCACTTGAATCAAAGCTCGGCAAGACTTGGTTAAAGGCCTGTGCTCCACCGGCAGCAGATGGCAATGCTGGGTTCCCTGACCTCCAGACTAGGGCAGTGTTACTCTCTGTTAAAGAGAAACAAAGAAGAAGAATAAACTAACACAAAACAAGTGTCACCATCCACTGGACACTGAGGTCTGCTGAGAAGGGGATCTGAGCACTTGATGGACGGACTGGTTCTGTGGGAGGTGAGGATGCTTTTCTGACTGGAACTTCTTCTTGTGGGTCCTAGGGTCCTGTTGTGGGGGGAAACAAGAACAGACCCACTGCCTACCCGACAAGCATGTCATAGGAGACAACTCAACTAATTGGGGGTTTTCTTCAATGTCAGGGTGCATTAGCCTGAGAGGCAAGGGACCAGCAGTCTGCATACAAATAAGTCAGATCTGTAAAGCAGATGTGCATGCAACCCGATGGTTCTGGAACAGGTCTAAAGTCTAGAGTTCGTTGAATGACCAGAACTCTTCACCAGAGTTTTCAGCTGGTGAACACAAAGAAGAAGAAGAACTTAGAGTGCACAACAGTTAAGTCAGCATTAGAGAAACCCGTAATACATCAGTTAAGTCAGCATTAGAGAAACCCGTAATACATCAGTTAAGTCAGCATTAGAGAAACCCGTAATACATCAGTTAAGTCAGCATTAGAGAAACCCGTAATATATCAGTTAAGTCAGCATTAGAGAAACCCGTAATACATCAGTTAAGTCAGCATTAGAGAAACCCGTAATATATCAGTTAAGTCAGCATTAGAGAAACCCGTAATATATCAGTTAAGTCAGCATTAGAGAAACCCGTAATACATCAGTTAAGTCAGCATTAGAGAAACCCGTAATACATCAGTTAAGTCAGCATTAGAGAAACCCGTAATACATCAGTTAAGTCAGCATTAGAGAAACCCGTAATATATCAGTTAAGTCAGCATTAGAGAAACCCGTAATATATCAGTTAAGTCAGCGTTAGAGAAACCCGTAATACATCAGTTAAGTCAGCATTAGAGAAACCCGTAATATATCAGTTAAGTCAGCATTAGAGAAACCCGTAATATATCAGTTAAGTCAGCATTAGAGAAACCCGTAATATATCAGTTAAGTCAGCATTAGAGAAACCCGTAATATATCAGTTAAGTCAGCATTAGAGAAACCCGTAATATATCAGTTAAGTCAGCGTTAGAGAAACCCGTAATACATCAGTTAAGTCAGCATTAGAGAAACCCGTAATATATCAGTTAAGTCAGCATTAGAGAAACCCGTAATATATCAGTTAAGTCAGCATTAGAGAAACCCGTAATATATCAGTTAAGTCAGCATTAGAGAAACCCGTAATATATCAGTTAAGTCAGCATTAGAGAAACCCGTAATATATCAGTTAAGTCAGCATTAGAGAAACCCGTAATACATCAGTTAAGTCAGCATTAGAGAAACCCGTAATATATCAGTTAAGTCAGCATTAGAGAAACCCGTAATACATCAGTTAAGTCAGCATTAGAGAAACCCGTAATATATCAGTTAAGTCAGCATTAGAGAAACCCGTAATATATCAGTTAAGTCAGCATTAGAGAAACCCGTAATATATCAGTTAAGTCAGCATTAGAGAAACCCGTAATATATCAGTTAAGGAAATGTGCACAAGAAAATAATCTAGATGAATTTTTTTCAGAATCTTGGACATTGTTTTATGTTTGTATACCAGTTGTTGAGTGACATCTGTTCTGTGTTTCAGCACAGGTGAGGTGCCCTGCTCCCTTCCACATGTCCTTATTTCCTCTATGTTTGTGTACCAGTTGTTGAGTGACATCTGTGTTTCAGCACAGGTGATGTGCCCTGTTCTCTTCCACATGTCCTTATTTCCTCTATGTTTGTGTACAAGTTGTTGAGTGACATCTGTGTTTCAGCACAGGTGAGGTGCCCTGCTCCCTTCCACGTGACCTTACCTCTATGTTTGTGTACCAGTTGTTGAGTGACATCTGTGTTTCAGCACAGGTGATGTGCCCTGTTCCCTTCCACATGTCCTTATTTCCTCTATGTTTGTGTACCAGTTGTTGAGTGACATCTGTGTTTCAGCACAGGTGAGGTGCCCTGTTCCCTTCCACATGTCCTTATTTCCTTTTGCATTTGTTTTAAGTTTCATAAAGAAGAAGATGCAGAGAAGGCGGTTGGGGAGCTGAACAACCGCTGGTTTAACCAGAGACCTATCCACTGTGAGTTGTCTCCAGTGACTGACTTCAGAGAAGCTTGTTGTCGCCAGTATGAGATGGGGTGAGTCACTTGTGTGGTGTTGTCATCATCACCGTGTTATCTTGTGCCCCTAATTTTTTGTGTGTGGAATATGGGCCTTTAGTCAGTTCATGTCTTCAACTAATTCATGTCACAGTTGATGTCATTGTTTTGTTGGGATGCCTTCACTGTCATGTACCTGCTGCCACATTGCCTAGTCAGTGCCATGCTGTCTGTCCTCCACTGTCATGTACCTGCTGCCACATTGCCTAGTCAGTGCCATGCTGTCTGTCCTCGACTGTTACTGAGACTTTTAATGGCTGTCTTGATAGTAGGTTCAAGGAATTAGGGACATGAAACTGTAGAAAAACATAGAGATAGTGGATCATAGAGACGGTGGATCATAGAGACGGTGGAACATAGAGACGGTGGATTATAGAGACGGTGGAACATAGAGACGGTGTAACATAGAGACAGACAGTGGAACATAGAGACAGACAGTGGAACATAGAGACAGACAGTGGAACATAGAGACAGACAGTGGAACATAGAGACAGACAGTGGAACATAGAGACAGACAGTGGAACATAGAGACAGACAGTGGAACATAGAGACAGACAGTGGAACATAGAGACGGTGGATCATAGAGACGGTGGATCATAGAGACGGTGGAACATAGAGACGGTGGATTATAGAGACGGTGGAACATAGAGACGGTGTAACATAGAGACAGTGGAACATAGAGACAGACAGTGGAACATAGAGACAGACAGTGGAACATAGAGACAGACAGTGGAACATAGAGACAGACAGTGGAACATAGAGACAGACAGTGGAACATAGAGACAGACAGTGGAACATAGAGACAGACAGTGGAACATAGAGACAGACAGTGGAACATAGAGACAGACAGTGGAACATAGTGGATCATAAAGACAGTGGAACATAGAGACAGACAGTGGATCATAGAGACAGTGATTCATAGAGACAGACAGTGGAACATAGTGGATAATAGAGACAGTGGAACATTGAGACAGACAGTGGAACATTGAGACAGACAGTGAAACATTGAGACAGACAGTGGAACATAAAGACAGACAGTGGAACATAAAGACAGTTGAACATAGACACAGACAGTGGAACATATACAGAGACAGTGGAACATAGACAGACAGTGGATCACAGAGACAGTGGAACTTAAATAAACTGGATCATAGAGACAGTGGAACATAGAGACAGTGGTTGTAGGTAGAAAGAATCTACCACAGATAAAAGAAAAGAGGAAATCAGCAGTATCACAGAAACTGCATTTAGTGAACAGTTGGTTGCTTTAGTGTGGGGACATATCAAGAAGTGTAAGTTTCTGTTTCTTGCCAACAGAGAATGTAGTTGTGTGTGTTTCTCTAGCTTTGTTCTGTTTCTTGCCAACAGAGAATGTACTCGTGGGGGTTTCTGTAACTTCATGCACCTGAAGCCAATCTCCAGAGAACTGAGGAGACAGTTGTACGGACGTAAGGGACACAAGAAAGGAAGGTGAGTGTTGCCAGTCGGCTAACTTGTACGTGCTGTGCTGTATCACAAGTTGGTTACTTCGTAACATATCTTCCTGCAGACAGGAGGCTTGATCACTGGTTTAGCTGGGTGAGAGGGGAAGGAGCGCTGTGCAACAGTCACAACTGGACAGTGTTTGTGTTTTAAATAATGGGTTAGACAAAGTCTCCATGCCACACTCTGATAGGTACCAGCCATTTTTCTGGCAGCAGGTGCACTCAGACTTCGAAGGAAACCCCCCCCCCCCCCCCCCCCCCCCCCCCGACAATAGGGCCCAACACAGGAGACCTGGCCTTTGTGACCTGTGAGCTAATACATAATTCAAATTATGTTTTTCTAGAGACTTCCCAAGCGACACCCATTGTGTGTACCGAGCTTGTGTGGTTTTTCTGGTTACCTGTCAGATCTCACCACCCAGGAGATTTTGAATAAAACAAACCAGGGTCCTACTTCTTCAATGTCTGTCCGATTGATACATTTAGTCTGTTTACAGCAAAGCTGCAATATTTTGGCAGGCACATTTGACTTCTGGTATTTGTTATCTGGGTTAGCCTTCCTGATTAGTTTTATCTGTAATTTGTAGCCTTAGTTTTGATACATTTAACCGCATCTGAAACTGTCCCAGTGACCGAAGTCTCAGTGTCCGAAACTATGCCAGTGACTAAAGTCACAGCTGTTTTAGCTTGGACCCACTCTTAAGCAATTGTCAGCCATAAAATACCTAGGTAAACAGACTGTGTGTGTATGATGCCACATCAATAAACAAAAAATTTCTGTTGGGGGGGGGGGGGGTGTGAAGGACTGCAGTGTCCATTGCGAAAAATCCCCGACTTTGACAAGGACCAGAACAAACGGTTTGACAGCCATTGTTGTTACGAACTATTCAGGCACTCACCTTAGTTTGAGACAGTCTGCGTCATTTTGAAATTGTTTTGAAAATGCCAGTGAAGCTCCTGATATATGTCCAGTTGTTAGAATGACCCAAATGTAACATTGTTTTTGTGCCAGTTAGCAGTTTTTCCTTTATGCTTGTCTGTCTTTTTGCCAGTTAGCAGTTTTTCTAGATGCTTGTCCATCTGCCAGTTAACAGTTTTTCTAGATGTTTGTCTGACTATCTGTCTGTAAAAGTTTTCTAGATGTTTGTCTATTTGCCAGTTAGCAGTTTTCTAGATGTTTGTCTGTCTGTCTGTCTGCCAGATCTAGGTCAAGATCACCACCTACCAGCAACAACCGCAGAGAGTCCAGAGGCAGCAAGGAACGAGATGACCGCAAGAATCCCAGAGAGAATGGGCGGCCTGAACGTCCACGGGAAGACCGAGGAGGAGACAGGGGCGGGGACCGGGTCAGAGAGCGTGGCGGTGACAGAGAGAAGGACAGGGGTGGGGACCGGGGCAGGGAGCGTCGCAGATCCAGGTCTAGGGATCGCCATGGCAGATATTAAACTCACGTCTGGGTGGGTCCATTGCCAGATGCGGTTGTTTGGGTGGAGGGGGGGGGGGATGAGATGTGGGTGTTGCCAGCATCATCTTGAGGAATCAGTTTAAACCTAGGTTCCATGTAATAATTTTTATACATGTTTTTCTCTCACATCTGTATCTTTGTAGTTCTGTGGACACATTATGAGTTTCTCACAGCATCCATGCATGTAATTAATGTCCAACGGTGGTGGCCATTTTATCAGCGGCCGTAATTGTTACAAATAAACTTTCACAGAAACAAAAAATATATTGTTGCGATTGTGTGAAACATTTGCTATGATATTATGTTGTGTTTGCAGATCTACTCTACTTTACTTGTCTGTGTAATGTATCTCTTGTCCACCCATTTTAGAGAGGTGAACAAAGAGGTCTGCAAAAGTTGCCCATAAAATGAGGAACGATAAAGCTGGGACCATGAAGTTTGGCTTCTATTGCGGCGTCTTTAACTACAAGACTGTCTCCTAGGGAAACCGTTTCATGCCAACAACACATCAGATTTGTCTTGTCATAGATAAAACGCTCGACGGATGATGTGGTAAACATCTCGTCAGTCCCCTTTTCTTGCCACATTTCCTAGCACCCATTTAGGCTGAGACGACTTGTAGTCTTGCCACATTTCCTAGCACCCATTTAGGCTGAGACGACTTGTAGTCTTGCCACTACAAAAAAAAAAGAAGAAAAAACTAGATGTCAATTTGGGCCAGGGGACGAGCATCTGACCAGCTAAGTAAGCTTGACTGGCATATCATATGCAGGGGAAAATGCAAATATATTAATATAAAAAATAGTGTAAACCAGGGACTGATAGTGCAAAATCTGTGCTCCTGCTAGAGCAGCGGTACTCAAGCTGCCTGTTGCGACCCTTTCAGCCCATCAGAAAACACATATTCTTTGATGTATGAAGGAATATAATTGCTTGGGCATTGCCACATCATGAGGGACTGTATTAACGGATCACAGCATTTGGAAGGTTGGGAGCCACTGTGCTAGAGAAACATGTGTTGCATATAAACTAAGACATTTGGAGAGATAGTCTGTCAGTGGACAGTGATAATAAAATAAAGGCGATGACCAGTGTTTTTCCACTTCCTACAAATTTATAGATCAGAAGGATGCGACAAACTTTTTTGTTGTTGCATGGGTTAGTCTGATGCCACTGGCGGTGGACTGAGTTAGTCTGATGCCACTGGCGGTGGACTGGGTTAGTCTGATGACACTGGCAGTGGACTGGGTTAGTCTGATGCCACTGGCAGTGGACTGGGTTAGTCTGATGCCACTGGCGGTGGACTGGGTTAGTCTGATAATGCTTAAGGTGGACTGGGTTAGTCTGATGACACTGGCGGTGGACTGGGTTAGTCTCCAAGAAAAGGTTGCCACCCCTGATCTAGCCTCCATGGTGCCACTGCTCCAAGAAAAGGTTGCCACCCCTGATCTAGCCTCCATGGTACCACTGCTCCAGGAAAAGTCGGCTGCCAGAGGTGGTTTGGTTCAAACAGCATCAGCAAGTCACACACAGTTGTTATCAACTGGCAAGTGACACAGACTAGAGGAAAACACTTTCAATTACACAAGCTTGGTAGGACCTGGCCAAATGACTTTGCAAGCAATATGTGGTCAATTGGATTGACATTACACACCACTGCATTAAATGGAAAACATAATAATGATAAACCTTAAGGCTTTATTTTATAGGTCACCACAAACATAGCATTAAATAAACAATATAATAGTAAACCTAAATACTTCACCACAAAGACTGCATTACAATATATTTATAATAAATTTAAATGCTTTATTATATATAGATCACCACAAACACTATATTACATAAACAAAAAGAATAGTGATCAATCTAAATGCTTCATTACAGATCACCACATTACATAAACAATATAATGGTAAATCTAAATGCTTCATTACAGATCACCACATTACATAAACAAAAAGAATAGTGATCAATCTAAATGCTTCATTACAGATCACCACATTACATAAACAATATAATGGTAAATCTAAATGCTTCATTACAGATCACCACAAGCACTATGTTTCATAAACAAAAGAATAATAATCAATCTAAATGCTTTATTACAGATCACCACAAACACTATATTACATGAACAATATAATAATGATAAATCTGAATGATTCATTACAGATCACCACAAACACTATATTACATAAACAATATAATAATGATAAATCTGAATGATTCATTACAGATCACTACAAACACTATATTACATAAACAATATAATAATGATACAACTGAATGATTCATTGCAGATCACCACAAACACATGAACAAAAGAATAATGATAAATCTAAATGATTCATAACAGATCACCACATTACATAAATAATATAATAATAAATCTGAATGCTTCAATACAGATCACCACATTACATAAAAAATATGCCAGATAAATCTAAATGCTTCATTACAGATCACCACAAACACTATATTACATGAACAAAAGAATAATGGTAAATCTAAATGATTCATAACAGATCACCACATTACATAAACAATATAATGATAAATCTAAATACTTCATTACAGATCACCACAAACACTACATATTACATAAACAATTCCCTCAGGAATGGAATGTTAATAAATATTGTAGTTCCACTGTAACTTGGCTTGGTAATTCGGAGGCAGTTTATTTTAGCCAGATCAAGTAGCTCAAAGGTTGCAAAGAAATGATGCTTTAACCTTTGACCTGAGTTGACATTGTCCGAGTCGACTGGGAAATGTGTTTATTATTCAACTGCTGCTGCTGCTGTTGTGGTGGTGGTTCAACCTCTGATCGCTGCACCTCTTGTCGCATCAGGAGCACGGCCGCTGGGCACGGACGTCGCTGCTTCTTCTGAAACTGTTGCCGGTACTCGGTCTCAAAGGTCATCTGGTGATCAGACATGATGAAGAAACTTTAATCATTCTGACTAGACACTGTGGGAGCTGTGACAGAGTAGTGGCCCGGCGGTCCAAATGGTATAGGCTCAAATCCACAATCAAACAGAATTATTATTGTAATTGACATTGGCTCCCAGGTCAACCCATCACAAAATAGGTACCAGGCAATGTGCTGGGAAATAAAGGCAGCCAGTGTGATGTTGACTACATTACCCAGCGGTAGCTCTCTGGTCTATAAAATACTAGTCTAACATGATATGCCAGATGTGTCACTGGAGTGGAAACAAGATATGTCAGACGTGTCGCTGGAGTGGAAACATGATATGCCAGACGTGTCACTGGAGTGGAAAATGATATGCCACATGTGTCACTGGAGTGGAAACAAAAATCGCTTTTTACTTACTACATTATCTAGACAGCGCAAGTTGTCAGCACAAGTTGTCAGCACAAGTTGTCACCAGAAGTTGTCAGCACAAGTTGTCACCAAAAGTTGTCAGCACAAGTTGTCACTAGAAATTGTCATCAGAAGTTGTCACCAAAAGTTGTCAGCACAACTTGTCACCAAAAGTTGTCAGCACAACTTGTCACCAAAAGTTGTCACTAGAAGTGGACCAAAATAATGTGTCCTGAGAGACTTGTTTAGTTATCATAACCTTGCTAGTGGCATTACCTTATTACCCCACACTTTAGCTTTTTCCAGTCCACCTTGTGTAAATAAACTCAGACAGAAAGTTCTGGTTGTTCGTCCACTTCTGGACTTGGTCTTCTTGCTCCAGAACTGGAGTTTTGCAAGGACATTTGTGTAAAAAAAAATAGCTTGTTTGTATGCAGACTGTTGGTTTCTTGCCTATGAGGTAGATCTAATCCAACTTTGAATGAAACCATCCTCATTAATTGCCTTTAACGATTAGCTTGTCAGGAGACCAATGGTTCTATTTCTCCCCTTCCCTCTCCCTTCCATCTCCCTTCCCCTCCCTCTCCCTTCCCTCTCCTCCACAGAATCAACATATGGAAGATATGATCCCACAGTTCAAATCAGAAGAAAAAAAAAAAACACATTTGATGTGAGGTTGTTTGTTTGTTTGTTTTAGTATCCAGAAGCCACGAGTTGTTTACCTTTAGTCTCGGTATTATGGATATCCGCATCGCAACCTTTCGGCCTTGATTCCATTGTAAATACCGTAAATTTGGGGGAAATGTGGCTTTTCTGCCTACCCCTGGGAGTGAACCCGGACTACAAGGAGTTCGTCACCCGGTCATCGCGCAATCCGGTTTAGCCAACTAAGCTTGAGAGCCGGGTCGATGGGAGGTTATAACAAACTGGACTTGATTTCACGAGTCAGAGGAAGGCTGATTCAATTTACTCTGGACAAGGTGGTGGTCAGAGTTAGGGTTGAAGTTGAAGAGTTAAATGGTTGAAGTTAAACAGTTGACAAACAACAATAAAGCACTTGAAATATTTCCATAAACACAAATCATTGTAACTAATCTACAAAACATACTTATAAAAATGGAGACTAGTTTGCTTCGTGCAAAGTGGCACGCAAAGCTTCCGAGTTCCTGGCTAGCCACTGACACAGTGTAGTTTTGCATGACGAACTAGATGTTATTTCTCTTTGGGGTGCGTGAACAGTATGGAGGCACAAACACATCATTACATTCTGAAGAAAACGGCGCAGCAAGGAGTGACATGGGGATTTGATCAACACTTAACACGCAGAGGACAGGCAAGATGGGGTCGAGGGTCATGGAGACTCAGGGCTGAAGTGGCTAAGACTCTCGTACAGTGGAGCAAACCAGCTGGTCCCCCTTGTGAGTCTCTGGGTCTAGCCTTATAGGGGAAAAGGGTACATTCAGGTGGTAAGTCCTCTGACCTAGTAAACCTTTCTACAGTCAAGACCGTTGTGCGTGATCGAAAAGGCACATTCTTCAAGAGGTGAGCTCGTTTACCAGAACCTTTCGGTCCTGAGACAAAACACAATGGATCTAGAGGAGACAACCTCGATTTAAAAAAAAAAAAAAAAGCCTAAAATGGATCTGCGTGCTGAAAGGCCTAATGGCTGTGGGATAGGCAGTAGTGAACGTGGACGTCTGGTCAACGGGAGGGGCGGCGCCAGGCGTATGGACTCCATAAGGACATCCATTGCCTCTTTCCTAGCAGACAGGCTCTACTAGAGGGATTGGTTAATTCGAGCTCCATAACAACTTCAACGTATCGATTTTTAATTGTCCTTTAATAAGGATTATCGCCGTAGCTACGGAGCACCTGCTTTGCGCTTGAGGTCATCTTTAGCAAGCAGCGAAGAGAGAGAGTGAAGAGGAGAAAATAAGTAAAGTTGAGAAAAGAAAGCAGAGAAATAGAAGGGCAGGAGATTTAGGCAAAACACAGAATGGCTGGGGTTCAATCGTGTGAAAGTGTGTTTTTGGAACTGCCGTAGTGCCAGACAGAGAGGGCCCATACTAGAGAGGTTGATTTACGACTCTGGTGTAATCATGCTTCAGGAGCTAAATGCAGATAAATATCATTACCCTGGATATGTCAGCTACGTAAACCCTGCTGGGCATCATGGAAGACATGGGCAATGTCTGCCGGTGAAGGAGTGACTGAAACATGTGGTGCTTGATCTGAGTCTCTGGAACAATGATGCTAGAGAGGTGTAGGGAATACAGATGGAGATTGGTGGCCTACGTTGGAACATAATTGATGTGTATGCTGCTGTGGGTTCTTTAGTTACAAAACAACAGCGGGACTGGCTGAAAGACTTGGAGGGGATTCCTGGCAACAGTTTCCTCATTTGTGGGGATTTCAATGCACAGAACAATGAATGAGACAGTACTGGGGAAAACCAACAGGGAGTGGCCCTTGCTGACGCCATGGTTGATTCAGACCTTGTCTGTTTAAATGATGGAACGTCAACTAGAATGGCAATGAGGCCCGTCAATTCAGACACGGCTATTGACCTACACACGCGTTGAAGAACAGCAGCATCGCCTACTTGTTGAATTCAGTGTAATTGATCGCATTCAATATAATCACAGTTCCAGTAATACAGTGTTTCGTTGTGCAAGATGAGAAGCTACATATAAGCTAGAGGGGGCAATGTGACAAAAGGCAGTGCTAGCCCTGTTTTATTAATATTTTCACACAAAGTAAAACGAGAAGAATGGATTTCATGTTTGAATTAACAGTTCAAGCTTGAACTAAACAATTTAAGTAATTAATAATAATTTTCTGTTTAGGATTTTATCAAGTTTATGTAAACATTTTATTTTTGTGTTTGTTTCGTTTTATATAATATTAAAACAAAATATCTGAAGCATGATCTCTACAAATGTGACCTACCAGCCACTACTAGGTATCTGTAGAGTTTGGGCTGTTCACCGGTTTACCTCGTGGTCTAAAGACTGTAGGCTCAGTTTTAGCACTCATTCAGTTTGCAAGAGCAGATGTTTTGAAGACGTTTGGGGATTGTCACTGGAGCTTTGGAACTTATGCTTTATGCAATACTTGAGGTGCTAAATCTTATGTGATAAATCCCAGTGCAGAAAAGGCCAATGGCGTACAGGTCCGAGCCGCCCCTGGGTATCACCTGTTTGGCATCAAACACAGGTCCGAGCCGCCCCTGGGTATCACCTGTTTGGCATCAAACACAGGTCCGAGCCGCCCCTGGGTATCACCTGTTTGGCATCAAACACAGGTCCGAGCCGCCCCTGGGTGTCACCTGTCGGACATCAAACACAGGTCCGAGTCGCCTCTGGGAGTCACCTGTCCGGCATCAAACATTTGTTTGAGCCTTGTCAGCTAGAGGTACAGGACGCCTTTCACAAAGTGGACATCAAACAAACAGAGCTAGATCTTTATCTTTATATCAGCACACAATGGAAGAATTATGCTGGTCACTTTAACTTCCCGTAAAATCACACACACACACACACACACACACACACACACACACACACACACACACACACACACATATATATATATATATATATATATATATATATAGAGAGAGAGAGAGAGAGAGAGAGAGAGAGAGAGCGAGAGAGAGAGAGAGAAGTGGGGGGAGGGGGGTAGAAAGCAGCAGATGAAATAATGAGGAAGAAGCCAAGTTCAAAGTGCTTCCTTTGTGCCAAAGAACTGCATGGCTGTTGGATATAGATTCTCTGGCCCCCTGCTCAGCATGACGTAATACTGCCGTGACCTCACATTAACCTCGCATAAACTATTTACAGGCATGGGATCAATTTTTCCCCACACAATCTTCGCGGAGCTACGGCCAGCGTGCGTTGATGTCAATACTGGCAGCAAATGATGCTAGGAGTAGGAGAAGGAGATAAAGGGAGAGGAAGAAAAAGGAAGGAGAGCAAGAAAATATCAAGTATGAGAAGGAAGAAGAACAAGGAAAATAAGAAACAAAGCTAGTCTCTGGCAGCCATACCTTTCCTTCCTTGTAGATGGGCTGGTGTCTGTGCCGGTAGATGTGAACTGGGCTGGTGTCTGTGCCGGTAGATGTGAACTGGGCTGGTGTCTGTGCCGGTAGATGTGAACTGGGCTGGTGTCTGTGCCGGTAGATGTGAACTGGGCTGGTGGGCTGGGCGACAAACACAGACTGGCTGACGGACTGAGCGAGGAAAGGCTGTTGTGGTGGCAGATACGGCATGCTTGCATGGAAGTCACCATATCTGTGAGTGGATAGCAGTATTATCATTCTCATGATCTGTTATCACCATCAGCACAGCTTTATCTTTCCACTTCTCTTCTTTATCATTATCTGAATTATTATCTTCTCATTATTATCATCAATATTCGTCAGCATCTCCAGTCTGTTGGGAATGCCCAGTGTGCAGTGACGACAATTATGATGAAAAAACATTTTCATCAGTATTTACCATTAGGACGAAACATCAGCAATTAATATCACTTTCATCAATCATTATTATTAATTACCACTGGCAAACAAAGTCATTATTATTTCTCATTATTATCAATCATCATTCTCTTTTTCATTGAGACTGACATAGAGACTGACATATACTGACTGACATATACTGACATAGAGACTGACACAGAGACTGACATAGAGACTGACATAGAGACTGACACAGAGACTGACATAGAGACTGACACAGAGACTGACATAGAGACTGACATAGAGACTGTCATAGAGACTGACATAGAGACTGACATAGAGACTGACACAGAGACTGACATAGAGACTGACATAGAGACTGACATAGAGACTGACACAGAGACTGACATAGAGACTGACACAGAGACTGACATAGAGACTGACATAAAGACTGACACAGAGACTGACATAGAGACTGACATAGAGACTGACATAGAGACTGACATAGAGACTGACACAGAGACTGACATAGAGACTGACACAGAGACTGACATAGAGACTGACATAGAGACTGACATAGAGACTGATACAGAGACTGACATAGAGACTGACACAGAGACTGACATAGAGACTGACATAGAGACTGACATAGAGACTGACACAGAGACTGACATAGAGACTGACACAGAGACTGACACAGAGACTGACATAGAGACTGACATACACTGACATAGAGACTGACATAGAGACTGGCATAGAGACTGACATAGAGACTGACATAGAGACTGACATATACTGACATAGAGACTGACATAGAGACTGACATAGAGACTGACATAGAGACTGACATAGAGACTGACATAGAAACTGACACAGAGACTGACATAGAGACTGACCTAGAGACTGACACAGAGACTGACATAGAGACTGACACAGAGACTGACATAGAGACTGACATAGAGACTGACATAGAGACTGACATAGAGACTGACATAGAGACTGACACAGAGACTGACATAGAGACTGACATAGAGACTGACATAGAGACTGACATAGAGACTGACATAGAGACTGACACAGAGACTGACATAGAGACTGACATAAAGACTGACATAGAGACTGACATAGAGACTGACATAGAGACTGACACAGAGACTGACATAGAGACTGACACAGAGACTGACACAGAGACTGACATAGAGACTGACATACACTGACATACACTGACATAGAGACTGACATAGAGACTGACATAGAGACTGACATACACTAACATACACTGACATAGAGACTGACATACACTGACATAGACACTGACATAGAGACTGACATACACTGACATACACTGACATAGACACTGACATAGAGACTGACATACACTGACATAGACACTGACATAGAGACTGACATACACTGACATACACTGACATAGACACTGACATAGACACTGACATAGAGACTGACATAGAGACTGACATAGAGACTGACATAGAGACTGACATAGAGACTGACACAGAGACTGACATAGAGACTGACATAGAGACTGACATACACTGACATAGAGACTGACTTAGAGACTGACACAGAGACTGACACAGAGACTGACACAGAGACTGACACAGAGACTGACATAGAGACTGACACAGAGACTGACATAGAGACTGACACAGAGACTGACATAGAGACTGACATAGAGACTGACACAGAGACTGACATAGAGACTGACATAGAGACTGACACAGAGACTGACACAGAGACTGACATAGACATACACTGACATAGAGACTGACATAGAGACTGACATAGAGACTGACACAGAGACTGACATAGAGACTGACACAGAGACTGACATAGAGACTGACATAGAGACTGACACAGAGACTGACATAGAGACTGACATAGAGACTGACATAGAGACTGACACAGAGACTGACATAGAGACTGACATAGAGACTGACATAGAGACTGACATAGAGACTGACATAGAGACTGACACAGAGACTGACATAGAGACTGACATAGAGACTGACATAGAGACTGACATAGAGACTGACACAGAGACTGACATAGAGACTGACATAGAGACTGACATAGAGACTGACATAGAGACTGACACAGAGACTGACATAGAGACTGACATAGAGACTGAAATAGAGACTGACATAGAGACTGACATAGAGACTGACATAGAGACTGACATAGAGACTGACATAGAGACTGACACAGAGACTTACACAGAGACTGACATAGAGACTGACACAGAGACTGACATAGAGACTGACACAGAGACTGACATAGAGACTGACATAGAGACTGACACAGAGACTGACATACACTGACATACACTGACATAGAGACTGACATAGAGACTGACATAGAGACTGACACAGAGACTGACATACACTGACATACACTGACATAGAGACTGACATAGAGACTGACACATAGACTGACACAGAGACTGACATAGAGACTGACATAGAGACTGACATACACTGACATAGAGACTGACATAGAGACTGACATACACTGACACAGAGACTGACATAGAGACTGACACAGAGACTGACATACACTGACATACACTGACATAGAGACTGACATAGAGACTGACATAGAGACTGATACAGAGACTGACATACACTGACATACACTGACATACACTGACATAGAGACTGACATAGAGACTGACATAGAGACTGACATAGAGACTGACATAGAGACTGACATAGAGACTGACACAGAGACTGACATAGAGACTGACACAGAGACTGACATAGAGACTGACATAGAGACTGACATAGAGACTGACATAGAGACTGACACAGAGACTGACACAGAGACTGACACAGAGACTGACATAGAGACTGACATAGAGACTGACACAGAGACTGACATAGAGACTGACATAGAGACTGACATAGAGACTGACACAGAGACTGACACAGAGACTGACATAGAGACTGACACAGAGACTGACATAGAGACTTACATAGAGACTGACATAGAGACTGACATAGAGACTGACACAGAGACTGACATAGAGACTGACATAGAGACTGACACAGAGACTGACACAGAGACTGACACAGAGACTGAAATAGAGACTGACATAGAGACTGACATAGAGACTGACACAGAGACTGACATAGAGACTGACATAGAGACTGACATAGAGACTGACACAGAGACTGACATACACTGACATACACTGACATAGAGACTGACATAGAGACTGACATAGAGACTGTCACAGAGACTGACACAGAGACTGACACAGAGACTGACACAGACACAGAGACTGACACAGAGACTGACACAGAGACTGACATAGAGACTGACATAGAGACTGACATAGAGACTGAGATAGAGTACCAGCATCAAAACCAAATCAGGAAACAACAAGTTGCAGATGGAGACCAAGAAGATATGGATAGACAGAAGGAGTCACAGACAGCACCAGTTTTCAGAACATAACAACATGGCAACATCACAACATGCCAACATCACAACATGGCAACATCACAACATGCCAACATCACAACATGCTAACATCACAACATGGCAATCAAGTGATTATGCCCTGGCTTGGCTATTGTTCATCTGCTAAACTGCAACCCCAGCTGCAACAAGCGGACACAGCCGAGCAATCATTTAAACTCACAGTAATCATACACACAACTTTTTTTGAGTGGGGGGGGGGGGGGGTGGGGGTGGGGGGGGGGCGTTTTGTAGCAGACCATACATCTCATTAACTTTTACTAAATAAAAAAAAATCAAGAGGAAGATGACAAGAAAACAAAATGACATAAATGAATATAGATAACATTATGCCCACCTGACCCTTGGTTGGACTTTCCACCTGTGAAAGAATGTGTTGTTTGTTGTCTGCCCATCAAAGCCAGCCCTTGCTGCTAGTTCAAGACTTGTCGCTGGCAGCTTCTTGTGAATGTTCTCCAAAATTGTCAAATCTATCCGTGGATAGTCTCTCTGAAAGATGACCGAGTCACACACAACATTGTTCAGATATATTCTAGTGGATTATAATAATCTCTCATAAAGTCTTCCAGATTAGGTCTTTGAGTCTGTTGGCATGTCACACAGGTGTACATATGTACTGTCACAAAGGTGCACATCAGTACTGTCATACAGGTGCACATCTGTACTGTCACACAGGGGTACATCTGTACTGTCACACAGGGGTACATATGTACTGTCACACAGGGGTACATCTGTACTGTCACACAGGTGTACATCTGTACTGTCACACAGGGGTACATCTGTACTGTCACACAGGTGTACATCTGTACTGTCACACAGGTGTACATCTGTACTGTCACACAGGTGTACATCTGTACTGTCATACAGGTGCACATCTGTAATGTCACACAGGGGTACATCTGTACTGTCACACAGGGGTACATCTGTACTGTCACACAGGGGTACATCTGTACTGTCACACAGGAGTACATCTGTACTGTCACACAGGGGTACATCTGTACTGTCACACAGGGGTACATCTGTACTGTCACACAGGTGTACATCTGTACTGTCACACAGGTGTACATCTGTACTGTCACACAGGTGTACATCTGTACTGTCACACAGGTTGAGTTGAGTTGAGTCAAGAATTGACATCACAACGCTCGAGGCATTCCCATGCATGCTCCGTCCTCATCTTCAGCAGCTAACACAGTGTTTCAATACTGATGGTACCGGTCACAATCTGGTTAAAAGTCCGTCTTGCCTTTCCTCTGAGTGTAGTCAGCCGGCCAGACCCTCTGGTTACACCAAGGTGCTTCATTCTCTCCAGGCCACAATAATCTGTCACAAAGGTGTATATCTGTACTGTCACAAAGGTGTACATATATACTGTCACAAAGGTGTTCATCTGTACTGTCACAAAGGTGTACATCTGTACCGACAAACAATAACCTGCCAAAAGATGACACTAACCTTATGACAAGTTTCTGTTTCAAATTTCACATTTGGAGGTTTGAACTCATCCCCTCCCTTCTGACAGGACTCCGGCACTGGATGCTTAGTGACATCATGACCTTGGAAAACTGTCCTGTTCTCAGTCTCAAATACCTGTCTGCTGGGTGGGCCAGAGAAAGTCATCGTATACTTTATTATACCAGTAACAATATTTGTTCAAGGAAATGTGAACAGTAGCTGTTTTTTATAGTTTCATTTCCTCCTCCTCCTTTCTCTCCCCCATCCCACCCCTTTCATCCTCCGTATTTCTGATCAAACAACTTTTCCCGCTGTTCCCGCTGTTCCCGCTGTTCCCACTGTTCCCGCTGCCCCTTTGCCAAACTGAAGTTTATCATCTTCTGTGAGTCAAAGTGATTCTGCTTCAGCTTTCTACTCTCTGATCAGCAAGTCTGACATGGCAGATATACGTGTTCCATTATAACTCTAAAGTAGAGAATGTTTAAACAACCTAGGACGTGTTTCAAACGACCTATGACATGTTTCACACGACCTATGACATGTTTCAAATTACCTATAACATATTTCAAACTACCTGACATGTTTTAAACTATATAGGACATGTTTCAAACTTCATAAGACATGTTTCAAACTACATAAGTCATGTTTCAAACTACATAAAACATGTTTTAAACTACATAAGACATATTTCAAACCACCTAGGCCGTGATTCAAACTATCTAGGACCTATTTCAAACCAATTAATTATTGGACAGATTATCATTGCACGTGGAACCACTCAGTCAATAGGTGATCGGATCCCTTTCATAGCACAGAGTGTAGCGGCTGACGACAACTGTTCTGCGCTGGTTTATTCTTCTTCTTTGGCTACCCATGTTGCGTTCTTCTTTGGTGACGACCCTTTAAACTTGCTGTTCTTGCAGTATGATCATGGTTGCAGATTCAGTTCTCAGTTGGTTCACGCAAACGTCTAAAATCTCGGTGACAACAACAATTAATTCGGCTATCCTCCGAATAAATTATCGGAGCGGAAAATACACCCTAACGGGGCCTCAGTCACGTGTCAATTGCGCAGTTCCATCGTCTTGAAATGCGATCTTCCGGCTACTTCCGCCACCGCCGAATTGCGAACATTCGGCAACCTCCGCCACCGCTGAGAGTGACCCTACGCCGCTCCCGCGGCATGGATTGGTGCTAAACTAGATGGCTAGGACTCACAAGTAGCAGGTACCGCATCCCCTGCAGCTTCCTTCATTTTATTTGCTCATGAGTCCCAGCCATCTAGTTTAGCTCTAATCCACGCTGAGTGAGCGGCGTGGGGGTCACTCTCGGCGGTGGCGGAGGTTACTGAAAGTTCGCAATTCGGCGGTGGCGTTATAGTCCCCTGAAGTGCGCAACTGACACGTGACTGAGGCCCTGTTAGGGTATATTTTCCGCCCCGATAATTTAAGACCGTTATTCGGAGGATACTCGATAAAGAGATACAGGCTAGAGTTCAAAAAGCCAATGCAGTCAACTACCAACTGGCCCCACTTCTTCGTCATCCAAAGATCTCGTTACCAGCCAAACAACGGAAGATCAACAGCATTTTTACCCCTACGTTATGTTATCAGTGCCAAACGTGGACAATGAACAAATCACATATACTAAAAATAACTACGTGTGAAATGCGATGTCTCTGAAGAGTCACCAACAATACACGAAGAGACAGAGTCACAAACGTCAGTATTAGAGACAAAGTTGGAACAAGAGCATGCATGGAACATATTGAAAAACAGAATGAAGTGGTTTGGTCATTTAGTAAGAATGCAACCGGATCAGATTGCCTATAAGGCCTTTTACAATAGAACATCGGGAAGAAAGGCCAGAGGAAGACCCAGGAAAAAATGGATAGATGGAGTTGCTGAATACGGCCAGAAGATCCAGAAAACTGTTACTCAAATCACGCAAGAGGCACAAAACAAATATTTTAAACCACGACACTGGGCTGCAACCCGGTAAAAGTGAAGAAGACAATAGATAGATAGATTCGGAGGATAGGCATTAATTCTTTTTAAAGAAAGTTCCTAAAAGACCTGTAATATTGATAAATAACAGCGGCTACAAATAAACGTGACCTGTTATGAAATGTGAGGTCTATGGTAGCTTGTGGAGGATCCGCTGGCTTTGGGGGATGTGGCTGCCTTCCTTTGAATCCTGGGAAATCATGACGAGTTTGAGAGATGCCTAAAAACTGTCCATGTCTGCCTGTGACCCTGTGGTCAGCCTGAACCAGCGGCCTGGCTCTCTGGTCTCCTTCAATCCTCCTGTACGTTGCATTATGGGTAGTGTCAAATGTGTGATCACCTGACCAAAAAAAAAAATGTATTGAAATCTTTAGTTAGACAGTCGACAAAATGGTTCTGAGGACTCTGATAGAAGGAATGTTACATCGGAAAGCTGCACTATGCTGGATCGCCTGAGCTTCAAAAAGGGCTCTCATCTATCACAGGCAGATAAATCAGATGAAGAAGTAGATGCTTCTGCATCTGGTCATAAAAGAGGATGATTAAAAAAAGGGGGATATTGTTAAATTTACTGGCTGTTACAGGATACAACGCAAAACACATGCACAAAAATGTATAGAAATCACAAAAACAGAATATACAAGCACAAACATGCTGTTGTCAACAAAAATTATACTGAATAGTTTCCTCTCCCTCACACAGCCGGCAACTGCAGTAACAAACCTTCTAGTTTTAAACTGTCAGCAACTGCTTTAGCTGCAACAGCTGGTGGAGCATGTGTCTCTCTGAACGTTTGTCTTGTCGTGGACACAGGCGTTGGGTCGTTGCCAGGAAACAGCAGACTTCCTGCGGACAAATTCAAACAGTTCACATCCCAGGTCAAATCAAAATAAAAAAAAAATAAATAATAAAAAGTAGGTTAAAAATAGTCCAACATTAAAAACTATAATACTAATACGAATTTTTAAAAAAAATGTGGCACGATAATGACAGTGACACAAAAACTGGGCATACCAACAAAACTGGGCATACCAACAAAACTGGGCATACCAACAAAACTGGGCAATTCTCCAAAAGTTGACCTCGGCTGTGGCAACCATCTTTTAAAGTGTTCCCTGTTTGTTGTCACGTCTTCAAATTTACCGGGCCCATCACGAATCAAATCAGGTCTGGTTCCATGTTTTACTGGCTCTAAGTTTATCTGTTGACAAAGGTCATCAAAAATGTCAGCAATACCACTGAATCACCTTATTTCTCCATCTTGATGACCACTGGTGGTCAAGTCTAGGGGAAAGTGCAGGTCGACTAGACTTTGGTCTTCATTTAGGACTTGTCCGTGTAGACATGTTTTACAGATCTGGCTTAGATGTGTGCAGACTGTTGGTTGTTGACCTCTCTGACATTAGAGGAAATGTTCATCCTGTCTATACAAGACAGGCTCCAGTTTCACAACCTGTTTCTACGAAGATCACACCGAGATATAGCTGGGTTCAGAACGATATTGCTGAGTCCTGACCGATTTTGCTGGGTCCTGACTGATATAGTTGAGTCCTGACCCATATAGCTGAGTCATGGGCCATATAGCTGGGTCCTGACTGATATAGCTGGGTCCTGACCTATATAACTTCTTTTTTCTGTGTTCAACCTCAAAAAAGTGGTCGGCACATTGAGTTGTGGTTTACAGCTAGGCTGCCTTATTTGTGGATTTTGACCAAACACATAGGATTTCAGCAAAGGCTTTAACCTCTTGTTTTTTCTTTGACATGCATGCCAGTTGACAAGCACTGAAATGGGAAACAACTGGATTGAGGAAACAAGGACATCCACATGAACCCACATGGATTCATGTATGACAATAACCAGATGTCAGCACAGATGTCAGCACATATGTCAGCACAGATGTCAGTACAGAAGCCAGTCAGACGACACTGACATCATCGCTCTTCCGAGCTGACACATTCTGTTATGTAACAGTTGAAGTCATCTGTCAGATGGTATATCATGTCACACACACGCACAGGCAAGCAGGCACGCTTGCAAGCACACACACAGACATGAATGCGCGCGCGCACACACCCACTCACACACTCACATCACACATATCTAATGTTCTCACCAGTTTTGGTGTAAATTCCTGAGAATAAAATGTCACTTGCTCAAATGGTTGTTTTGGTGGAACATACCTGGCATCCTGTGTACAGACATCATTTATGAGGTAAAATTGTCTTGTCACTGAATCATTTTAGTTCACAGTCAGACTGAGTCTGAAATCACTGACACGACTCGCTTTAGACTCGCATTCAAACCATCATCATCAAGTATCTTGCCAACTGGCACGGCAATCATGGCTTTCCACAACTTGCAGTGTTCAACAGCGTCAAGAATCTGCATGTATTGTCTTCCTTTATCTTTCCTCCAAAAAGTCTTTTCAGTTATCACAACATTTTTCTCTTTTTTTTTTCTTGCCGTAGCACGGCTAGAGAGAGGATTGTCTCTAAAGAGATGATTTGTACTTTCTAAAGTTATCACCTTCTCATTAATTTTGTAATTTGAACTTTCTAAGGTTATCACCTTCTCAATAATTTTGTAATTTGTACTCTTTAAGGTTATCACATTCTAATTCATTTTATAACTTCGTACTTTCTAAGGTTATCATTATCTAATTGATGTTATTTCTTTTTTTTCTTGTTAATATATCACGTTTTAATTGATTTTATAATTTGTACTTTCTAAGGTCATCATTTTCTAATTGATTTTACAATTCGTAGTTTCTAGGATTAACACCTTCTGGTCAGTTTTATAATTTGTAGTCTCTAGAGTTATGACTTCTAATCAATTTTATAATTTGTACTCTCAAAGGTTATCACTTTCTAATAGACTGCATAATCTTTAATTTCTAAAGTTATCACTTTCTACCTGATTTGATAAATTTTAGTCTCTATAGTTTTTCTTCTGACTGATTTTATAATTTGGAATTTTCAAGGTTACCCTTTCTGACTGATTTCTAAGGTGATGACTGATGCATACACATATGGTCCCACTTCTGTGTACCATCTAAGGCGATGACTGATGCATACACATATGGTCCCACTTCTGTGTACCATCTAAGGCTGATGCATACACATATGGTCCCACTTCTGTGTACTATCTAAGGCGATGACTGATGCATACACATATGGTCCCACTTCTATGTACCCTCTAAGACTGATGCATACAAATATGGGCCCACTTCTGTGTACCATCTAAGGCGGTGACTGATGCATACAAATATGGTCCCACTTATATGTACCCTCTAAGACTGATGCATACAAATATGGGGCCCACTTGTATGAACCCTTTAAAACATCGAAGCTTTCAAAACTGCTCCTTTGCTTACTCTTCGAAACGGTAATCAGTTGAACTTGACAGAATCCACCCACACTGGTGACATTTTTTAGAAGAAGGCTATGTTAGATGACATTTGAGGAGGTTTGAATTTAATTCTTTCAGGTTTTAAGAATGTGAACTTTAACAAAGACATCATACATAATTTTATAATCACGAATAAATGACAAAAGTAATAATTAAATATTATGCATTTTTTTTTTAACAACACAATAACAGGACATAATAGTCTTCAAGATACGTGGAATGTGATCTCTGGCAAGAGACTGAGCACAAGAAAATAAAGCTGTAGAAACCAAGCTCATTGATGGATGCTCACGTGAGTCACTGGCTGGACTCTCTCTACTCGTCCTGGATTCTGGAAATCCTCTCGCTGACTTGTGGATAACATCATTGGCGCTGGGCAGGATTGTCTCACTGGCGGCTGTGGGCGCTTCGATGATCGTGGTCTGGGCATTCTGATGGCTCTGTATGTGGACGTGTAGACCGAACTATGTAATGGTTCTCTGTGTTCGTGTTCAACTGGCTTCTGGACACATCGATGCTGCCTGTTTCATGGGCAGATTATTAACAGACATTTGTCATGATGTTAAATTTTGAGAACATGCATAACACACACATACACACACACACACACACACACACACTCACACGGGGAGGGGTGTATTCCTAAAATGTTTAGCTATACTGTGCAACAATTAACACACACGTTGTAAATGATTAAGCAACAAAACGAAAAGACAAGCATAAAAATACAGTAACAGACCAGACAGAAACTCTGTATATGCCTGGTATAACCCAGAAACGCTGCACATATCTTTGCTGAAATGACTACTACTAGATGACAATAGACTTACCCGCTTTCACACAGATAAGTAATGTTTTCTGATGACAATAGACTTACCCACATTCACACAACTCAGTAATGTTTTCTGATGACAATAGACTTACCCGCAGTCACACAGCTCAGTGATGTTTTCTGATGACAATAGACTTACCCGCAGTCACACAGCTCAGTGATGTTTTCTGATGACAATAGACTTACCCGCAGTCACACAGCTCAGTGATGTTTTCTGATGACAATAGACTTACCCGCAGTCACACAGCTCAGTGATGTTTTCTGATGACAATAGACTTACCCGCAGTCACACAGCTCAGTGATGTTTTCTGATGACAATAGACTTACCCGCAGTCACACAGCTCAGTGATGTTTTCTGATGACAATAGACTTACCCGCAGTCACACAGCTCAGTGATGTTTTCTGATGACAATAGACTTACCCGCAGTCACACAGCTCAGTGATGTTTTCTGATGACAATAGACTTACCCGCAGTCACACAGCTCAGTGATGTTTTCTGATGACAATAGACTTACCCGCAGTCACACAGCTCAGTGATGTTTTCTGATGACAATAGACTTACCCGCAGTCACACAGCTCAGTGATGTTTTCTGATGACAATAGACTTACCCGCAGTCACACAGCTCAGTGATGTTTTCTGATGACAATAGACTTACCCGCAGTCACACAGCTCAGTGATGTTTTCTGATGACAATAGACTTACCCGCAGTCACACAGCTCAGTGATGTTTTCTGATGACAATAGACTTACCCGCAGTCACACAGCTCAGTGATGTTTTCTGATGACAATAGACTTACCCGCAGTCACACAGCTCAGTGATGTTTTCTGATGACAATAGACTTACCCGCAGTCACACAGCTCAGTGATGTTTTCTGATGACAATAGACTTACCCGCAGTCACACAGCTCAGTGATGTTTTCTGATGACAATAGACTTACCCGCAGTCACACAGCTCAGTGATGTTTTCTGATGACAATAGACTTACCCGCAGTCACACAGCTCAGTAATGTTTTCTGATGACAATAGACTTACCCGCAGTCACACAGCTCAGTAATGTTTTCTGATGACAATAGACTTACCCACAGTCACACAGCTCAGTGATGTTTTCTGATGACAATAGACTTACCCGCAGTCACACAGCTCAGTAATGTTTTCTGTCGGCTCATGCAAGGATTGCAGCTTGTTAGTTGTTGTCATGGTCGGCATGTTGAAGCCTTCAATGTTTGACAGGTGGCTGCAACCAAGATTGACTCTGTACAGATTGCGATGTTTGATTCATTAAATATTTGTATGTTCAAGTACATTAACAGAATGGGTACATTAAAATATAACTCTGTGTTAGGTTTTCCACTTCTACGTTCTGCTGCACAGCTGTCAGAAATTTACTCTTTACTTTTCTTCTTTGGGATGTAGAGGTACCTTACAGTCGTATTTAGTCTTTTCTCTTCTACTCTGGGATGTAGAGGTACCTTACAGTCGTATTTAGTCTTTCCTCTTCTACTCTGGCATGTAGAGGTACTTTACAGTGGTATTTAGTCTTTCCTCTTCTACCCTGGGATGTAGAGGTACCTTACAGTCTTGTTTAGTCTTTCCTCTTCTACCCTGGGATGTAGAGGTACCTTACAGTCTTGTGTAGTCTTTCCTCTTCCATCCTGGGATGTAGAGTTACCTTATAGTCTTGTGTAGTCTTTCCTCTTCCATCCTGGGATGTAGAAGTACCTTACAGTCTTGTGTAGTCTTTCCTCTTCCATCCTGGGATGTAGAGGTACCTTACAGTCTTGGTTAGTTTTTCCTCTTCTACCCTGGGATGTAGAAGTACCTTACAGTATTGTTTAGTTTTTCCTCTTCTACCCTGAGATGTAGAAGTACCTTACAGTCTTGTGTAGTCTTTCCTCTTCCATCCTGGGATGTAGAAGTACCTTACAGTCTTGTGTAGTTTTTCCTCTTCTACCCTGGGATGTAGAAGTACCTTACAGTATTGTTTAGTTTTTCCTCTTCAACCCTGGGATGTAGAAGTACCTTACAGTCTTGTTTAGTCTTTCCTTTTCTACCCTGGGATGTAGAAGTACCTTACAGTCTTGTTTAGTTTTTCCTCTTCTACCCTGGGATGTAGAGGTACCTTACAGTCTTGTTTAGTCTTTCCTCTTCCCTCCTGGGATGTAGAAGTACCTTACAGTCTTGTTTAGTTTTTCCTCTTCTACCCTGGGATGTAGAAGTACCTTACAGTCTTGTTTAGTTTTTCCTCTTCAACCCTGGGATGTAGAAGTACCTTACAGTCTTGTTTAGTTTTTCCTCTTCTACCCTGGGATGTAGAAGTACCTTACAGTCTTGTGTAGTCTTTCCTCTTCCATCCTGGGATGTAGAAGTACCTTACAGTCTTGTGAAGTTTTTCCTCTTCTACCCTGGGATGTAGAAGTACCTTACAGTCGTATTTAGTCTTTCCTCTTCTACCCTGGGATGTAGAGGTACCTTACAGTCTTGTTTAGTCTTTCCTCTTCTACCCTGGGATGTAGAGGTACCTTACAGTCTTGTTTAGTCTTTCCTCTTCTACCCTGGGATGTAAAGGTACCTTACAGTCTTGTTTAGCCTTTCCTCTTCTATCCTGGGATGTAGAGGTACCTTACAGTCTTGTTTAGTCTTTCGTCTCCTACCCTGGGATGTAGAGGTACCTTACAGTCTTGTTTAGTCTTTCATCTTCTACCCTGGGATATAGAGGTACCTTACAGTCGTGTTTAGTCTTCCCTCTTCTACCCCGGGATGTAGGGGTACCTTACTGTCTTATTTAGCCTTTCCTATTCTATCCTGGGATGTAGAGGTACCTTACAGTCTTGTTTAGCCTTTCCTCTTCTATCATGGGATGTAGAGGTACCTTACAGTTTTTTCTCTTCTACCCTGGGATGTAGAGGTACCTTACAGTCTTGTTTAGTCTTTCCTCTTCTATCCTAGGATGTAGAGGTACCTTACAGCCTTGTTTAGTCTTTCCTCTTCTATCCTAGGATGCAGAGGTACCATACAGTCTTGTTTAGTCTTTCCTCTTCGACCCTGGGATGTAGAGGTACTTTACAGTCTTATTTAGTCTTTCCTCTTCTACCCTGGGATATAGAGGTACCTTACAGCCGTATTTAGTCTTTCCTTTTTTTACCCTGGGATGTAGAGGTACCTTACAGTCGTATTTAGTCTTTCCTCTTCTACTCTGGGATGTAGAGGTACCTTACAGTCTTGTTTAGTCTTTCCTCTTCTACTCTGGGATGTAGAGGTACCTTACAGTCGTATTTAGTCTTTCCTCTTCTACTCTGAGATATGGAGGTACCTTACAGTCGTATTTAGTCTTTCCTCTTCTACCCTGGGATATAGAGGTACCTTACAGCCGTATTTAGTTTTTCCTTTTTTACCCTGGTATGTCGAGGTACCTTACAGCCGTATTTAGTCTTTCCTCTTCTACTCTGGGATGTAGAGGTACCTTACAGTCTTGTTTAGTCTTTCCTCTTCTACTCTGGGATGTAGAGGTACCTTACAGTCGTATTTAGTCTTTCCTCTTTTACTCTGAGATATGGAGGTACCTTACAGTCGTATTTAGTCTTTCCTCTTCTACCCTGGAATATAGAGGTACCTTACAGCCGTATTTAGTTTTTCCTTTTTTACCCTTTGATGTCGAGGTACCTTACAGCCGTATTTAGTCTTTCCTCTTCTACTCTGGGATGTAGAGGTACCTTACAGTCTTGTTTAATCTTTCCTCTTCTACTCTGGGATGTAGAGGTACCTTACAGTCGTATTTAGTCTTTCCTCTTCTACTCTGAGATATGGAGGTACCTTACAGTCGTATTTAGTCTTTCCTCTTCTACCCTGGGATATAGAGGTACCTTACAGCCGTATTTAGTTTTTCCTTTTTTACCCTGGGATGTCGAGGTACCTTACAGTCGTATTTAGTCTTTCCTTCTGGGATATAGAGGTCCCTTACAACCATGATTAGACTTTCCACTTTGCAATCAAATTTAGTCTTCTTCCCTATAATGTACCTTAATCAATACCTTAATTAATCTTTTGTATTCTTCCCTTACAGTCTTGTTTAGTCTTTTCACTTCTAACCGAATATTTAATGGCTAGTATCCATATTGTAACAGAATCAAATCAAATGTTAATTTTGTGCTTTACAACAACAATATAACGATGTCTTCAAGGACATGTAAACCGACACAATTTATTAGAGTGGATACGAATGTAAGCGTTCTTTGAGTTAGCATTGGATAGACACACATGACATGCACTGCGTTCACTCCTTGTCCTTCTTCTTTGCTCCTCCTCCTCATTTTCTTTCTTTCTTTCTTTCTTTCTTTCTTTCTTTCTTTCTTTCTTTCTTTCTTTCTTTCTTTCTTTCTTTCTTTCTTTCTTTCCTTCTTTCCTTCTTTCTTTCTTTCTTTCTTTCTTTCTTTCTTTCTTTCTTTCTTTCTTTCTTTCTTTCTTTCTTTTTTCTTTCTTTTCCCTCTTTCTTTCTTTCTTTCTTTCTTTCTTTTCTTTCTTTCTTCTTTCTTCTTTCTTTCTTTTCTTTCTTCTTTCTTTCTTTTCTTTCTTTCTTTCTTTCTTTCTTTCTTTCTTTTCTTTTCTTTCTCTTTCTTTCTTTTCTTTCTTTCTTTCTTTTCTTTCTTTCTTTCTTTCTTTCTTTCTTTCTTTCTTTCTTTCTTTCTTTTCCCTTTCTTTTCTTTTTCTTCTTTCTTTCTTTCTTTCTTTCTTTCTTTCTTTCTTTCTTTCTTTCTTTCTTTCTTTCTTTCTTTCTTTCTTTCTTTCTTTCTTTCTTTCTTTCTTCTTTCTTTCTTTTCTTTCTTTCTTTCTTTCTTTCTTTTCTTTCTTTTCTTTCTTTTTTCTTTCTTTTCTTTCTTTCTTTCTTTCTTTCTTTCTTTTCTTTCTTTCTTTCTTTCTTTTCTTTCTTTCTTTTCTTTCTTTCTTTCTTTCTTTCTTTTTCTTTCTTTCTTTCTTTTCTTTCTTTCTTTTCTTTCTTTCTTTCTTTCTTTCTTTTCTTTTCTTCTTCTTCTTCTTCTTCTTTCTTCTTTCTTCTTCTTCTTCTTCTTCTTCTTCTACTTCGTTTTCTTTTTTCTTCTTCTTTTTCTTCGTCGTCTTCTTCTTCTACTTCTTTTTCTTGTTCTTCGTCTTCTTCTTCTTTATCTTCTTCTTCTTCTCCTTCTTCTTCTTCTTCTTTTCTTCTTTTTCTTCTTCTTCTTCTTTTTCTTCTTCTTCTTCTTCTTCTTCTTCTTCTTCTTCTTCTTCTTCTTCTTCTTCTTCTTCTTCTTCTTCTTCTTCTTCTTCTTCTTCTTCTTCTTCTTCTTCTTCTTCTGCTTCTTCTTCTTCTTCTTCTTCTTCTTCTTCTTCTTTTTCTACTTCTCCTTCTTCTACTCCTACTTCTTCTTCCTCCTCCTCTTCATCTGCCTCCTCCTTCCCTTTTCCTCCTTCTCTTCTTCACTGACTTTGTCTTTCATCGCCCTAAATAATGGTTGGAAAACTGTAAAATTATTCACAGCTTGGCTGTGATATCTTTTTATGTGTGCCCAACACATCAGATTTCAAACACATGTTAGCTTGGGACCCCTATGCTCCTGTTGCCCCCGGAAAGTGCTCCCAGGGGCACACGCGTTAAGACAACCGCGGCGGTGGGTCTGTTCCCCTTCCCTTCCACACCGGCACCTCTGGTGTCCAAGTACCCAAGCAAGGAGTCTACCAACGTGAACTTTACAAATACTAGACTGAGCTTGTAGAGAAGTTTCCGTGCTGAGAGAAAAACAGTTTAATGGCGGTGTCTATCTAGTTCTCACCATTCGCTGTTGCCATTTACTGTATGAAATGGAGAAGACGTCGTCCAAAATGAGGCAACCTCATTAAACACAACAGAACAGGTCACGAATTAGAAGCGAGAGAACAAACATTTTGAGCAAACTGGACTTACCTCAGGGAATTGATACAGAGAATGTTTCTGTCTCATTGTTTACATGTTCACCGGTTCTTAGCAACGAGTCGTTGGCAACAGCGTCTGAGGGTTTAAGCTGGGGTGTGGGGCTGGCGGCGGGCGGGGCGGAACCAGTTGATTACTTATCAGAGGCGGAGTGACGAAAACAAATGTTAGTGTCCTGTGTGGTTCACTGACCCCCTTCTCACCTGGCGGCCATTTAGGCAGTAACAGAACACTAGAAAGTAATTTAGAATTTCTCTGCTGGTCAAAGCAAAAAAATGGTTGCCTATAGTTCAACGAGTTGGCGACTCTTATTTCTTCTCTCCCTAACGTTCTTTCTTTCTTTCTTTCTTTCTTTCTTTCTTTCTTTCTTTCTTTCTTTCTTTCTTTCTTTCTTTCTTTCTTTCTTTCTTTCTTTCTTTCTTTCTTTCTTTCTTTTTTTCTTTCTTTCTTTCTTTCTTTTATTCTTTCTTTCTTTCTTTCTTTCTTTCTTTCTTTCTTTCTTTCTTTCTTTCTTTTTCTTTCTTTCTTTCTTTCTTTCTTTCTTTTATTCTTTCTTTCTTTCTTTCTTTCTTCTTTCTTTCTTCTTTCTTTCTTCTTTTCTTCTTTCTTTCTTTCTTCTTTCTTTCTTCTTTCTTTCTTTCTTCTTTCTTTCTTCTTTCTTTCTTTCTTTCTTTCTTCTTTCTTTCTTTCTTTCTTTTCTTTCTTTCTTTCTTTCTTTCTTTCTTTCTTTCTTTCTTTCTTTCTTTTTCTTTTCTTTCTTTCTTTCTTTCTTTCTTTCTTTCTTTCTTTCTTTCTTTCTTTCTTTCTTTCTTTCTTTCTTTCTTTCTTTCCCCTTCTTTCTTTCTTTCATTTTTTCTTTCTTTTTCTTTCATTCTTTCTTTTAGGGCTGTACCTAATATTCGCTTCGTATTCGCTTCGGGGCCGAACAGTAGACCTAATAACTATTCGGTATTCGGCCGAATAGTTGCGGTCCGGCCGAATACGAATAGTGGTTACCTTACATCTGTTTCTGGACTGGTGGAAAATAAATATATCAAGATTTCCCACCTTGGTTCATAATGTAAAGTGTTATCTTTGTGCACCACCTACGAGCGTACCAGGTGAACGTCTGTTTAGTACAGCTGGAAATACCTTCAGTGAGACAAGAAGCTGCCTTAATGCTGACAGCTAATGCCGCTTTCATGGATTAACTAAGTTGTCAATGACAATTTACAAGTTTAGCTACTTCTTATAAAACTAAGAATACTTTCATTCCTATGTATTAGTTACCACAGACTGACTGACTGAAGGATGCAAAACATGAAATGTTTTTAAATGTTTACTATTTTGTACTACATTTTGTGAAGTAAAATTTCAGCGTACATTTAAGATTATAGATGTTTTCTTTTTAGATCTATTTTATACACGAAAGTGGAAGAATAGGCCTCAGTTTGAATAGTGGGAAGACAGAAGTAATGGTGAGAAAATAATTATTCTCAAATGTGTAAATAAAAGTCAATGTTTTTATTTTGGGACAAGTACAGAAATTTAAGTATCTGGGCACATGGAAGATGCATAACTGAAATAAGAACCGGAATAGGACAGGCAAAAACGGTATTTTATAAAATGAAGAACATCTTATGCAACATATATCTTTGTCATTGAAGGTTAGAAAAAGAATTCTTGCTTGTTACATACATCCAATTTTATCATATGGCTGTAAGTTCTGGACAATCGGTAGGTAGGCTAAACAATTTCTGGAGGCCTCAGAAATGTGGTGTTACAGAACAATGCTTAAAATACCTTGGAGAGCCCCCCCCCCCCCCCCCCCCACCACCACCCCACCCCCCCCCCCCCCCAAAAAAAAGTAACCAACAGTTTTTGAAAGAGGCGGGAGCCCCGAAGACAACTACTCACAGACATCAGAAGGAGACAGTCATCCTTTTTCGGCCATGTTATAAGATGAGGGGAAATGGAACATGTGGTGACCACTAGAAAGATCTGTGGAAGGAGGGATAGATGAAGACAACGAGGGAAGATGCTTGACAGTCTTGTTGCATGGCATGGGGGTGTGTCAGCACACGAACTAATACATGCTGCAGGAGATCGCAGATTGTAGCAAAGCATAATCGCCCATGCCAGTCGGCAAAGCACCTGATGATGATGATTCACTATTCGTATTTGGCCGAATAGTTGGTCCAGCTATTCGTATTCGGCCGAATAGTGAAAATCACTATTCGGTACAGCCCTACTTTCTTTCTTTCTTTTTCCTTTTACTTATTCTTTCTTTCTTTCTTTCTTTCTTTCTTTCTTTCTTTCTTTCTTTCTTTCTTTCTTTCTTTCTTTCTTTCTTTCTTTCTTTCTTTCTTTCTTTCTTTCTTTCTTTCTTTCTTTCTTTCTTTCTTTCTTTCTTTCTTTCTTTCTTTCTTTCTTTCTTTCTTTCTTTCTTTCTTTCTTTCTTTCTTTCTTTCTTTCTTTCTTTCTTTCTTTCTTTCTTTCTTTCTTTCTTTCTTTCTTTCTTTCTTTCTTTCTTTCTTTCTTTCTTTCTTTCTTTCTTTCTTTCTTTCTTTCTTTCTTTCTTTCTTTCTTTCTTTCTTTCTTTCTTTCTTTCCCTTTTTTTCATTTCTTTTCCCTCTTTCTTTCGTTTGTTCCCTCTTTCTTTCGTTTGTTCCTTCTTCCTTTCTGTCTTTCGTTCTTTCTTTCTTTCCTTCTTTCTTTCTTTCTTTCTTTCTTTCTTTCTTTCTTTCTTTCTCTTTCTTTCTTTCTTCTTTCTTCTTTCTTTCTTTCTTTCTTTCTTTCTTTCTTTCTTTCTTTCTTTCTTTCTTTTTCTTTCTTTCTTTCTTTCTTTTCTTTCTTTCTTTCTTTCTTTCTTTCTTTCTTTCTTTCTTTCTTTCTTTCTTTCTTTCTTTCTTTCTTTCTTTCTTTCACTATTTTATTTTATACTCGCATGCTCCATAGAGTATAATACTCAGGGCTGTCAAAGCGATTTTTATCAAATACCAAGCTGAGCTGGCCCAATAATACCATCAATACAAAAGCAAAGAACAATAAACAAAAACAAAAACCTAAGAATGATAAAAAGTACAAATTGTATAGTTTCGAAACGAAACATTTACCCACTTTTATATCAAGATATATTTTATAAATAACCCAAGATTCCAAAATCCTAACCCAAGGCGTCAAATAAAAACCCAGATCTGGGGGTAAAAACCCATCATTGGCAGCCCTGATAATACTAGTCGACCGGCATCAGCTCTTGCCAACAGCTGGTCACGCTTGGATGGATTTTCATCTTCAGGGGAGTCGATGGAATATCGACGGCCGACTCTAAGATAGTGCGCTTGTCTTCCCGTCGAATCTGAACGTTTTATTCATTAATCCGTGGTCTCAGTTCAGGCAGACCAAAATGGGTACGGTGGTTTGTCCAGGGAAGTAAAGAGGCCAGGGTCAGACCCAGTGCCGATTGTTCAATAACAAATGCAAATTCTTTTTAATGTGCTTTCAGGGCCCTATTGCACTCACGCACTCATGCTGTATTGTCTGTACAGTGCTGTATTGTCTGTACGGTGCTGTATTGTCTGTACAGTGCTGTATTGTCTGAACAATGCTGTATTGTCTGTACAGTACTGTACTGTCTGTATGGTACTGTATTGTCTGTACAGTGCTGTATTGTCTGTACAGTGCCGTAGTGTCTGTACGGTGCTGTATTATCTGTACAGTACTGTATTGTCTGTACAGTACTGTATTGTCTGTACGGTACTGTACTGTCTGTAGAGTACTGTATTGTCTGTACAGTACTGTATTGTCTGTACGGTACTGTATTGTCTGTACAGTACTTTATTGTCTGTACGGTGCTGTATTGTCTGTACGGTGCTATATTGTCTGTACAAAGCTGTGTTGTCTGTACAGTACTGTATTGTCTGTACGGTACTGTATTGTGTGTACAGTGCTGTATTGTCTGTGCAGTGCTGTATTGTCTGTACGGTGCAGTATTATCTGTACAGTACTGTATTGTCTGTATAGTGCTGTATTGTCTGTACGGTACTGTACTGTCTGTACAGTACTGTATTGTCTGTACGGTACTGTACTGTCTTACAGTACTGTATTGTCTGTACAGTACTGTAATGTCTATACGGTAATGTATAGTCTGTACAGTGCTGTATTGACAGTACGGTGCTGTATTGTCTGTACGGTGCTGTATTGTCTGTACAGAGCTGCATTGTCTGTACGGTGCTGTATTGTCTGTACAGAGCTGTATTGTCTGTACAGTGCTGTATTGTCTGTACGGTACTGTATTGTCTGTACAGTGCTGTATTGTCTGTACGGTACTGTATTGTCTGTACACTACTGTATTGTCTGTACAGTGCTGTATTGTCTGCACGGTACTGTATTGTCTGTACGGTACTGTATTGTCTGTACAGTGCTGTATTGTCTGTACAGTACTGTATTGTCTGTACGGTGGTGTATTGTCTGTACGTTGCTGTATTGTCTGTACGGTGCTGTATTGTCTGTACGGTACTGTATTGTCTGCACAGCGCTGTATCGTCTGCTTCTCAGCCAAACATTTACTTTTTGTGTTTGTGTTTACTGTACTATGAAGCTCGCTGGTCTATTTTTCGTTTTGGTTTTATCTCTCTTCTTCGAATATCTACCTGCTTTGTTGTTGTTGTTATTGTTGTTGTTGTTATTGTTGTTGTTGTTGTTATTGTTGTTGTTGTTATTGTTGTTGTTGTTATTGTTGTTGTTGTTGTTGTTGGCACTGTTGGGAATACCTTACATTAGGTATAGAAGACAGCCCCATGGTTGAGTCCTGCCTTAGTGCCACTGTGAGGATGTTCGTCATACCACACCCCTCGACCCAGTATAAACACTGGACCCCCGCTGGATCCCTGACAGGTGGGTGTCGTGTACTTGTACTGTCCCAGATCCCCCTCGTCGTCCTTGAAGTGATACTCCCTGAGTTCTCCAACGGTGACATGCTTGCTGCATCCATGTGGGTGAGACACCACCACAGTCAGGTCCTCCTCGCTTTCAGAGTCATCCGAGTATTTATCCATCACAAGAGGCTGAAGTTTTCTATATATATCCAAGGAATTCTGCAGCTTGTCAAGTAGCTCCATGTCGTGAGTGAAACAAAGCAAGTGGGTTAAATCCTCATGGAAATCGCTTTGAATCGCCCCTACTTCACTGAGAGCTGGCAACTGTCCCAGATCTGCGCTGTCACAGTCGTAGTTAAGGTGACAGATTGTGTGTTGGGCTTCGAATTCGTCATAGACTACATGGGTAACCGTAAATATTTCAACCCGACCCCACTGTTTGCAGGCTGTAGGAGAATTCTTGCATTCTCGACACGAACACAGCTTGCCGTTCGAGTATGTGTCTACTCTAGCCACCCAACCTGATCCAGTGATGGACTTCTCCCGCCCGCGTTTATCGTATCTGGGGATGGGCGGATATCGGACTTTGGGCCTCTCTGGGCTGAGTTTGTTGACTTTAATTCGAACTGTTAGAGCTGCTAGGGCACGGATGAGATCAGCCAGGTCGTTGTCCTGGTAACGGTCCGGCAGACAACCGATGTTGAACTCAGTGACAGGGATAAAATCCTTGTGGTCTGGGTTCTTTTGACATTTCTTCATGTTCTCGTGCAGACTCGACTCAAGACCGCAGAAGTCCTCGACTTCAACATGACCTAGCGACAGACACACAGAGAATAGAACTAATGTATTGTACATCGTAACCATAAATATCTGAAAAATAAAACATCGAATGCAGAAAACTGAACGATAAAGAAAAATCATCTTTCACATTGTCAAACGAATACATTTATCCAAGTCAGCCGCGCTTGTTAGGATAACACTTTTCGTTATTTGAAGCCCCACTCTAGCTCTTGCCAGGAGCCTCAATATAACCTGGCCATAAATATGGCCTAAAGGCTGAACGCCGTTTCTGGGACCTCTCTACGGTGATCCTCACCCACATGGTGGGACATTGTGTCATCGGGTGTTTATCGCTTGTGTGATGTCCTGGTGGGGTTGAAAGTCAATCAGTCCAGTCAGCCGCTGATAGTGGTTTCTGCACAATAGTGTGTACTGCACGGCAACAGACTGCATGGCGACAGAGAGACAACCGCAGTCACAACCAGGGCCATATCTATTATGTTTGACGCCCCTGTGCAGTCATTTATTCTAGGGCTCCTCTTCTCTTTACTATAATAGACACGACGAGACCGTAAGCTATATAAATGCTTGAGACCCCTACCAAGTCTGGACTTCAGGCTACTTGGTAACTATCGGATCCCCCAACATAATCCTGCGCTTAAACGGATTTCTGCAGTTTGTACCTGGTGATTCTTATCCAAAAAAAAGAGACTCGTGTGGTCACCGGATGTAAATCGTTGAGTATACGGTTCCAGTGAGCTACAACGTCACAGTGACGGACTGTTGTAACGCCACAATGTTCATCAAACTCTGCACTGGTCACGCGGACAGACTGTTATAACACCACAATGCTCACCAAACAAAGCACCTGCCCACACTGACAGACTGTTGTAACGCCACAATGTTCATCAAACTCTGCACTGGTCACACTGACAGACTGTTGTAACACCACAATGTTCATCAAACCCTGCACCTGGTCACACTGACAGATTGTTGTAATACCACAATGTTCATCAAACCTTGCACTAGTCACACTGACAGATTGTTGTAATACCACAATGTTCATCAAACCCAGTACTGGTCACACTGACAGACTGTTGTAACACCACAATGCTCATCAAACACAGCACCTGCCCACACTGACAGACTGTTGTAACACCACAATGCTCATCAAACCCTGCACCTGCCCACACTGACAGACTGTTGTAACACCACAATGCTCATCAAACCCTGCACCTGCCCACACTGACAGACTGTTGTAACACCATAATGTTCATCAAACCCTGCACCTGGTCACACTGACAGATTGTTGTAATACCACAATGTTCATCAAACCCTGAACCTGGTCACACTGACAGACTGTTTTAACACCACAATGTTCATCAAACCTTGCACTAGTCACACTGACAGACTGTTGTAACACCACAATGTTCATCAAACCTTGCACTAGTCACACTGACAGACTGTTGTAATACCACAATGTTCATCAAACCTTGCACTAGTCACACTGACAGATTGTTGTAATACCACAATGTTCATCAAACCCAGTACTGGTCACACTGACAGACTGTTGTAACACCACAATGCTCATCAAACACAGCACCTGCCCACACTGACAGACTGTTGTAACACCACAATGCTCATCAAACCCTGCACCTGCCCACACTGACAGACTGTTGTAACACCACAATGCTCATCAAACCCTGCACCTGCCCACACTGACAGACTGTTGTAACACCATAATGTTCATCAAACCCTGCACCTGGTCACACTGACAGATTGTTGTAATACCACAATGTTCATCAAACCCTGAACCTGGTCACACTGACAGACTGTTTTAACACCACAATGTTCATCAAACCTTGCACTAGTCACACTGACAGACTGTTGTAACACCACAATGTTCATCAAACCTTGCACTAGTCACACTGACAGACTGTTGTAACGCCACAATGCTCATCAAACCTTGCACTAGTCACACTGACAGATTGTTAAAACACCACAATGCTCATCAAACACAGCACCTGCCCACACTGACAGACTGTTGTAATACCACAATGTTCATCAAACCCAGTACTGGTCACACTGACAGACTGTTGTAACACCACAATGTTCATAAAACTCTTCACTAGTCACATAGACAGACTGTTGTAACACCAGAATGCTCATCAAACTCTGCACTAGTCACACTGACTGTTGTAAATTCACAATGCTGGACAAGCTCTGCACTAGTCACACTCACAGACTGTTGTAACGCCACAATGTTCAACTCATGCAGGTCTCATTATCCCACAAACTATGCAAATACAACACATTTTTCCTTTTATATTATCCCCAGGTCTGCAGCCCTGTGCAGCTGTACATGTGGCACAAGCCTAAATTCGGTCCTGATCATAAATATCGTCACATCATGCAGATGTCATAAATGTTCGTGCCCCCCCCCCCCCACACAGAATCGCCCCAAAGACCCCTAAAGTTTTGGATCATCTCTGTAGATGATGTTCCTTCATGCAACCTGCCTGTGTCTCTTCTACCACCCACCTTTACTGTTTGCATGATATTCTCCAAAACATTCCATCCCATCATCCTCGACATCTGCTTCATATGTCGTCAGTCAGTGAACAAACAGACATCCCATCATAATCAACATCGGCTTCATATGTCGTCAGTCAGTGGATAAACAGACATCCCATCATTCTCAACATCTGCTTCAGATGTCGTCAGTCAGTCGACAAACAGACATCCCATCATCCTCGGCATCTGCTTCAGATGTCGCCAGTCAGTGGATAAACAGGCATCCCATCATCCTCAGCATCTGCTTCAGATGTCGTCAGTCAGTGGATAAACAGACATCCCATCATCCTCAGCATCTGCTTCAGATGTCGTCAGTCAGTGGATAAACAGACAGCCCATCATCCTCGACATTTGCTTCAGATGTCGCCAGTCAGTGGATAAACAGGCATCCCATCATCCTCAACATTTGCTTCTTATGTCTTCAGTCAGTGGACAAACAGGCAGCCCATCATCCTCGGCATCTGCTTCAGATGTCGTCAGTCAGTGGATAAACAGACAGCCCATCATCCTCAACATCTGCTTCAGATGTCGTCAGTCAGTGTACAAACAGACATCCCATCAACCTCAGCATCTGCTTCAGATCTCGTCAGTCAGTGGACAAACAGACATCCCATCATCCTCAGCATCTGCTTCAGATGTCGTCAGTCAGTAGACAAACAGACATCCCATCATCCCAAGCATCTGCTTCAGATGTCGTCAGTCAGTGGAAAGACATCCCAGGATCTTTGAGCTGAGCATCATACAACTTTGTGTTAGCAGAGAGGTTTCTCATTTACCTTCTTCCTCTTCTTCCCCATCACAGAAAAATGTTGCTGTAGCTGCAACATCTGTGGATGGTGTTGTTGTAGCTGCAACATCTGTGGATGGTGTTATTGTAGCTGAAACCTCCATGGATGTTGTTGTTGTAGCTGCAGCATCTGTAAAGGACACATTTATGAGATGACACGACTATTGGGTAGGATTGATATGTAAGTCTCAACAGCCACCACCTCCTCCTCAGGATCTTGTATGTGAGTATCTATGTGTGTATGTAAGTATCTATGTGTGTATGTAAGTAAGTATGTATGTATGTATGTATGTATGTATGTATGTATGTATGTATGTATGTATGTATGTATGTATGTATGTATGTATGTATGTATGTATGTATGTATGTATGTATGTATGTATGTATGTATGTATGTATGTATGTATGTATGTATGTATGTATGTATGTATGTATGTATGTATGTATGTATGTATGTATGTATGTATGTATGTATGTATGTATGTATGTATGTATGTATGTATGTATGTATGTATGTATGTATGTATGTATGTATGTATGTATGTATGTATGTATGTATGTATGTATGTATGTATGTATGTATGTATGTATGTATGTATGTATGTATGTATGTATGTATGTATGTATGTATGTATGTATGTATGTATGTATGTATGTATGTATGTATGTATGTATGTATGTATGTATGTATGTATGTATGTATGTATGTATGTATGTATGTATGTATGTATGTATGTATGTATGTATGTATGTATGTATGTATGTATGTATGTATGTATGTATGTATGTATGTATGTATGTATGTATGTATGTATGTATGTATGTATGTATGTATGTATGTATGTATGTATGTATGTATGTATGTATGTATGTATGTATGTATGTATGTATGTATGTATGTATGTATGTATGTATGTATGTTATGTATGTATGTATGTATGTATGTATGTATGTATGTATGTATGTATGTATGTATGTATGTATGTATGTATGTATGTATGTATGTATGTATGTATGTATGTATGTATGTATGTATGTATGTATGTATGTATGTATGTATGTATGTATGTATGTATGTATGTATGTATGTATGTATGTATGTATGTATGTATGTATGTATGTATGTATGTATGTATGTATGTATGTATGTATGTATGTATGTATGTATGTATGTATGTATGTATGTATGTATGTATGTATGTATGTATGTATGTATGTATGTATGTATGTATGTATGTATGTATGTATGTATGTATGTATGTATGTATGTATGTATGTATGTATGTATGTATGTATGTATGTATGTATGTATGTATGTATGTATGTATGTATGTATGTATGTATGTATGTATGTATGTATGTATGTATGTATGTATGTATGTATGTATGTATGTATGTATGTATGTATGTATGTATGTATGTATGTATGTATGTATGTATGTATGTATGTATGTATGTATGTATGTATGTATGTATGTATGTATGTATGTATGTATGTATGTATGTATGTATGTATGTATGTATGTATGTATGTATGTATGTATGTATGTATGTATGTATGTATGTATGTATGTATGTATGTATGTATGTATGTATGTATGTATGTATGTATGTATGTATGTATGTATGTATGTATGTATGTATGTATGTATGTATGTATGTATGTATGTA